TGGATTTTACATGGAAACAGTATTTTTAAATTCTTCAGTCTCTGTACAAACATTCTTCTTACATCTAGCGATATCCCCTAGAAAGGAAGAGCATATCAAAACTTTAGTTCGTTCGTCCGTCCTCTTCCCTTAATAATTTTGTATGCCCTTTATATCTTGCCATTTTGCAGATAAAGCACATACATTCTAGGCTGCCGCGAAATTCTCTAGCATTTTATAAATTTTGAAAATTTGGCAATTGTGGCTATGCAAAAATACCGTTTTTACCATATTGAAGCAGGTAATTTTGAATCACTTAAGTTAAAGTGTTCGTTTGAAAAAGTCTGCAGTAATTTTGTATATTTTCTCAGAAACCCTAAACTTTGAATTTTTCGATTACCAAAAACGATTTTGTCTCCACAGCCAGCACATACCTTCTCTCGATTTTCTTCATGGCTCAACTTGAATTTCGGTTTAATTTTCATTTTAAAATACTATTTTTAACTTTATAAAGTATACATTAAATAAACAACTAAAGCAAAATGATAACGCAAGTGACGTATAGCAATTTTTTTCATAATTTACAAAATTTGCAAGTTGTAATTATTTCATAGACAAACTTCCAGTATTTTTTGTTATAAAAAATATTTAAGATATAAATCTTAGTTTTTTGTTGTTGTTTTGTTTTGAGTGGTAAAAAATAATAGGTGACTCAATAAATTAATACTGGGGAGTAAAGTAATTTAAATGATACAAAGTTTATTATTTTGCTTAATTTTATTAAAGTTGTACAGGTAGTTTTAGTACAATAATTGCAAAATAATATATAGAAATAGAAAAACAAAAAAGTTTGCAAAACTTTAAAATAGGATCAGCTGGGATTTTGATAAATACATGTTCGTGTTACCAAAAGAGTCTATAATCAAAATATGCTATCAGTTTTGGTTGGCATTTTTGTTCGTCCTATACTTAAGTTTTGACCACCGTGTAGCGATATTGCATTATTCCGAATATGATTTTAGATGATGTTCCTTACATCTGGACGTCCGGAAGATTATGCGACTTCAAGGGCTGCGAAGATCGTCCGGATTTGGAGCCAAAGAACATAAACGGCTGGTTTTGGTCGGCCAACCGTGACCAGATCCCGGCCACGAACAAAGTGGCCTCTGGATGGAACTACAACCCATGGTCCACGACCGGACACAAGAAGAAGCCGCAGCCCGATAACGCGGAGTTTGACGTAAACAACACCACTGAGCCCTGTTTGGCTGTCTTGAACAACGTCTACAAAGACGGTATCACATGGCATGATATCGCTTGTTACCACGAAAAACCTTACATTTGCGAGGATAATGACGATCTTTTGGACTATATCAAGGCGTCAAACCCCTTAGTTTAAGTTGTAAATAACTTTAATAAATTTTTGTTAGTTAACGTTTGGGTTATTTTCAAATCAAATTTCTTGTACAGTGTGGTCCACGTAAGGTGACCCATATACTTATCTCAGAAACTACTGGAGTCACAAAAAATTTGTAAGAAACAAATATTCACGAAGTAAAAAATATTTTTAAAATATTATATTTTCATTTATATAGGGTGTTCGGTTTTCCTTGGGACGATACCAACTTTCTTATTTTCAATGGAACACCCTGTATTTTTTTGCATTTTTGGATTCTTCCCACTCTTTTAGGTATACTTTGTAAATATATTAAATAAGAAAATGAGTAAAATTAAGATTTATTAAAATTTCTCTAAATGTAGACACTCGCTAAAAGTTAAAAATAATCAACTAAAAGTTATTATTTTTTATATTATGTAGTATCCATCTCTTTAATAATAAGTAAGCTATAAGTTAATTTATTTTTTGGAAAATATTATACAGGGTGTTTTCTTTGAATAATGAAAATTTAACTAAGGTAATTGGAAAAAAGCTACTAATTGTGAAAAATGCGAATATTTTTTTTTCTGTTAGGTTTAGGTACAGGACATATATATAAAATAAAAGGTGATTACTTATTCTATCCAATTATGCAAAAATATATAGGGTGTTCCATTGAAGAAAAACAAGATTTTAAACTTTTAAAATCGCTATTTTCAACGGGACATAGAAAACACCCTGTATAATATTTTCCAAAAAATATAATAATTTACTTATAGCTTACTTATTATTAAAGAGATGGATACTACATAATATAAAAAATAATAACTTTTAGTTGGTTATTTTTAACTTTTAGCGAGTGTCTACATTTAGAGAAATTTTAATAAATCTTAATTTTACTCAAAAAGTATTAACATTTTCTTATTTAATATATTTACAAAGTATACCTAAAAGAGTGGGAAGAATCCAAAAATGCAAAAAAATACAGGGTGTTCCATTGAAAATAAGAAAGTTGGTATCGTCCCAAGGAAAACCGAACACCCTGTATAAATGGAAATATAATATTTTAAAAATATTTTTTACTTCGTGAATATTTGTTTCTTAGAAATTTTTTGTGACTCCAGTAGTTTCTGAGATAAGTATATGGGTCACCTTACGTGGACCACCCTGTACATTTGCTGTCCAACAACTTTAATCAGTACCAAATCAACATAATAGTTTCTCCGCTCTGAACTATAAACAATTATACAGTCAAGTCAAGTGCATTTAAAACCTGATCTAAAAGTTTAAAAGCGCGAAGTAAACTGCCACCCCACCTGTCGAAGTCACGGAACCACCCACCTTAACAGGTGAACCTGAAATAAACCAATTACAAGGGAACAATGAGACATATTCAGATCCGTTTTTAATATTTGCACTTCGGTATTTTCATAAATAAGAATTCACCGAGCCTACGGGTGTGTTTATACCTTCCCAAGTGACAAATCCGTAGAAATCAACAAGAAAGAATAAAAGAGTTGAACACGGTTAACGAACCCCTACATTAAATATTCCAAAGATACCGAATGCACAGGCAGTATAGGAAGTGACAAGTAGTAGGTACTTAATAAACATAAATCATATGTAAGTAATCAAACCATTTTCTAATCTTTGCATTAAAGACCTTCTCGAGTATAAAAAAAATAAATAGTAGAAGCAGTAAAAATAAATACAAATGCAATTTATTAATTGTTAAATGAGAAAAGAAGACGTAAACACAATTTCTACCACAACAAGTAAATAAGGAATAGTCGTTTTCAATAAATAGTTCTTACTACTTAATACTTAAATTAAATAATTTTAGGGATTGCTTAGGCGAGTAATCAAAAACAATTCTAAAAAAACTTTAAAACAAACCCTATAATGACTGTTGGGGACAGAGACCCGGATGAAATATAAGACCAGCAAGGGTGTCCAAGTAACTTACTAATAATCCATGCCTCATTCATGATGCTTTTACTTAGTTTTGTACTAAAAATTTTTTTAAAATATGTTCTTTTTTTAAACAAATCCTAGTGTAAATAAAACCTTAAAAAGATTTTTAACAATCAAAAAAATATATTTTTAAAATGATTGAGCATTTTTATATAAGTTTTATATGTTAGTAAATTTGTGACCCAGGGGATCATTTTTTTTCTTTTCTAAGGGCTTATTTAAAAAATTCCAACTGCCCACGTTTAGGTGTTAAATAAACAAAATTTGGAAAAAAACAGGTTTGTAGATTAAGTTTCTGTTATTTAGTTTTTTATAAAAGTGTTTATAAAATATTTCATTTTCAAATAAGTTTTTTTCTTACTACCTCGACTCAAAATACGTTGTTTCGTCCCCGATTTCACGGCAGAAAGTTTACGTTTCTTGCATTGGTCAAGCTATACGCGCACACTCTAATAGCGGGAGTAAAAATTTTTTAGTCGCGTGCTTAACATTTAAATTTCGTACTGCCAACATGAGAAACACAAAAATATGACAGTTTTAAACCATAATTTTGCAATTATAACAACAAATAAACAATTTATGTTTTTACTTTTTTACTTTTTATGTTGTTTTAAGTGTTTAATGGTACTTTTATTTGTTATAAAGTAGTAATTTGTTAATTAAAATACAACCTTTTATTTTTACTGTATTGGCACCGCTGAATTACCATGAAAACGCTACAGTTTGATTGATTTTGAGTGTAAACGTCAGAATTAAATTAAACGTCAGATTTTAATTTTGACACAAATTTTTTTATATACATTTAATTTTTTCCCGTATTTTCTGCAGGGTAGTAAGAAAAATAGTATACACTACACGGGCAGAAAGTGTGAGAGTCCTGAACTGCGCGCCATGATGCCCTCGGCTTCGCCTCGGGCATCATGGCGCGCAGTGCAGGAATCTCACACTTTCTGCCCTTGTAGTGTAATATACTATTGTTACCCCGAATCTTAAATTCAACCATATGAATTGTTGCATCTAAATTCAAAATGTGTTATAACTAACAATTTGTTAGTAACAAACATACAGTATACTACTTGTATGAGTCGGTTAAAAAAAAAAACACAAAAATGTGTGAAAATGTTTTTATTTATTTTAATTATAATTTTTTTATAGTGCGAGGCATGGACCACATGGTCCATGGTGCGAGGTAAAGTCATCCATATTGAATCGGATGAAAAATTGAAGCTTGTCTATTTTTCATGGTGAAAATTACTAATCTAAAATTTGATATTCCTTACAGTTACGGCATATTGGCGGATGTGCGCAAGCGAAAACTAATTTCAAAAAGTCTACCCCTTCGAACTAAACATTGACAAGCTTTATTAAAAATTGGGAAAAAGTGAGGTTAATTCCGTCCGACAGTTGTAAGATGTTTAACATTTAAAACCACCCCAGCACAAAATATTGGTCTTATAGGTATATATATATACCTACTAACTAATAGCAAAATTAAGGTTAAATTTATTTTTTGAGTGTCCCAATATTTTGTAGTTCAATTCTTCATTCTTATTTACTTGCTGTTAAAATAGTTAAAAACGAATAACAATGTTTCAGCCACTAAAAAACAAAATTGTATTAAAAAAAAATCGAAAATCATTGTTTTAAAGAATATATATATATCCAGTTTCTTACATTACAATGTAACGATTACATTAAACTTACATTTACATAAAACTGCAGATTAACCTTTATCATATTTCCAAGCGTAAGAGTTACTGGTTTTTCCAATCTTGCCATCATAAAAACAAGTTTCCTTCTTAAATAAGGCGGATAATTTTTCCAATCCATTTGAAAAATCACTGGTATCAACTTTAGAAGCTTAAAAACAAATACCATTAAAAATGTTTTGTTATACATAATGGCACATTGTACACTCGAAAATTCCTTAGAAATATTTTCAATGTAAGTATAGAGTTATTAAACGCTTTAAAAAATAGTATATACAGGGTGAGTCATTAAACTTAATAATAAAAATTTAATGATTCAAGGGGGGAAATCAATCAGTATACTAAAATTGGTCCTCATATTACTGCAGATTCGTATCATTCGATTAAAAATAGGTAGATTTTGTCTAAAACATTTTTTCATTTTTGTAATGAAAAAAATCAATTTTGTTCGATTTTCTCCAATAATTTTTGAATAAAATACTTGAATTTATTTTTTAAATTCATTTATTTATTTCGTTTTAATATTCTGCTAACACTGCTCTGGGATATTCCCAAATCTCTAGATAATTCTCGTGTGCTTGCATGAGGATTAGCGGCCGTTGCTGCTAATAAATTAATTTCATCATTTCCACCTGTGACTGTTGCTCGACGAACTCTTTTTTTCGGTTGAACACTCCCGTTTGTATTAAACTGCTTGACTGTACGGTGAAATGAAGTACCTGACCGAATTTTATCCGGAAAACGCTGAGCGTAGATATTAACAGCATCATCAAGATTCCTGCCTTCTTCACCATAAATCAAAATCATTTCTATTTTTTCTTCCACTATTAAAAAATCCATTATGAATAACTGCTTAACGAAAGGAGGTCTTTTTGTTTGCAAATTAATCTTCGAACTAAATTGATTAAATAATGCTAAACTATGTATAAATAGTTTCTTTATACCTCAATAATAAGTATTATTTATAAATAAATACAATTTTTTTTTCCTCAATTAGGATAAAATTAATTAATTGACAAAATAATGTTTTTTTTTACCTTAAATGAGGTATTTTTATTAAAAATGGTACAATAATAATCCTTTAAATTAAAGGATTTAATGCGGGCAGGTAAAAAGTAACCATGGTGCGCAATTGATAATTATCACCGAATGAAATAATGTAGGTATAAAACTTAAACCAAAGGAAACTTAAATTTTAGTTAAAAAATCGCGGGTACTTAAAAAAATCAGATTTAATTTAATAAGATAATTATTATCAAAAAAGTGATATTTTTATAGAAAAATTATTGCAGGATCGTATAAGAAGAAAAATCGAAAAAAAAATGATTTTTTTTCATTACAGCGCCACCTATTACAAGTATGAAAAAATGTTTTAGACAAAATCTACCTATTTTTAGTCGAATGATCCGAATCTGCAATAAAAAATGGGGTGTTCCATTGGAAATGAGTATGAGAACTAATTTTAGTACTGATTGATTTCCCCCCTCGAATCATTTAATTTTTATTTTAAATTTTTTTTAGTAAAATGCACACTAACTGAGATATTTCAAAGTTAAATGACTTCCATTTTTTACTATTGGTTATTTCGTTACTTCTTTAAAACAAATATCAAATATTGATTTTAGACGGTTGTCCCATATTTATATGAAAAAAATGAAATAAAAAGTAACATTACGTCTTCACTAAAGGACTGACTGAACCAACACAAGCAAAATGGATCAAGAAGTATTAAACTTAATATTGTCCCAAAAACGATATATTCCAGTACGGTGTCAAGCTAAAAAATATTAAAATAATTATGATTATAAATGTTATTTTAACTTAAAAAAGTCGAATTTACTTTATACTAACTTAACTCAAATAATTTAAAAAACTTTAGTTTAAATTTCGTATTTATAGTATTTTTTTTATCTAATTGGTGTTTTTAAGAATAAACTAAAAAAAATTCTTACCAATAGTAAAGTATACAAAACTCCAGTCAAAATGCCCGTCAAAATTACGTATTGGATTAGATATGTTATAGAAAAAATATCCTCGATAAGTTTTGCACACCTAAACGTAAAATATTAATTAATTAATAGCAGAGGTCTAAAAATATTTAAACAGAATATATATATAAATTAAGAATTTCTTTATCTGATAGTCTATCACATCAGGTTTTCAAGACTGCGGCAACGTTGCAAATTTAGGGGTTTAGTTTGTAAATACGAAACCAAAATTGGTTGCATTGATTAAAACAAACTATAGCCAAAGATAATAATAATAATAATTATCTTTGACTATAGCTATAGCTATAAATGTATATATAGTTATAAATGTAATTATAATGTAATATTGGTTATGTTTAAATTATTGAAGGTTACATTGAACGGTTGTCTAGTTGGGTCAAGTTAAGTTGTCAAAATTCGTAGTTAAAAATGCAATTAATTTGGCTTTGGTGGTGCAAAGATGAGTAAAATCAAAAAGTAGTTAAATATAGGTGACTACGGCCCAGGATAGACAAAGTATTCCTAGCGGATAATAACACTAGTTTACAGCCATTTTGCCCACCATGTCTCACTATGATTTTCTTGTGTAGTTTGGCTCACTAAACGCGAAAATCACACTTAAAATTTTTTTCATGGAAGCATTTTCGAGATATGAATTTTTAATTATTTTTTTTTAATTTTCTGGGGTGTTTTGACGTTATAGAGTATACTTCGAGTTCTAATTGATCGATTTGACCAAACAAGCACTTAAATTAAAGGTAATTGAGCCCTCTACAACTTTCTCTTGTATTGTTTTGGTATCGGCTCAGTAGTTCGATACTTGTGATTTTATGAAGTTGAAAAAGTCCTTTTTTACAAAAATCGAGGTCGAAAATTTACATATCTTTCTGGGAAAGATAGAAATCGAAAGAAAAGTCCAGTTTGATTTATTTGAGTCGTATAGATTCAAAACCCGCCAAATCCATTTATTGAAAGTAAAGGACAGTAGATATGTTTGCAATACCGTAAAACGGGGTTACTTTGCACTTTGATGGGTAACTTTGCACCACTGCTGTAAAAGTATATATAAAAATATTATAATATATACTCTCTAAAAATGAAATAGTCAAAATTCTACTATTTGAATTAGTACCAGCATTTTTTACTAATAAAATAGTCGTTTTCACTTTTAAATAGTTATTTTTTACTATGTAAATAGTTAAAGTTTGACTAATTTAAGATTAGTCACCATATTTGACTATTTCTGACAGTTAAAAGTAACTAATTTCTTTAGTCGTTTACGCCCAACAACAAAGTATTATTTGAATTAAATGCATATACCTCTCCATGGTTAAATGACCCATAAAACAAATAAAGATGCAAAAAGTTTAGCTCAAAATAGCAACACAAATAATATATTAAACTTTAAAATATTATAAACAATATTTATTGACACATAAAATTAATTTTTATAAGAGCGGCTGACAGCCGAATGCGTTAAGAGGTTAGTTTGACAAACTTGTCAAGTGACAGACCTGAGTTCAATCCCAGGCTGGGTCAAAACTTTTTTTAAATTTAAATTTACTAATTTGACTATTTCATTCAGTGGAATTTGACTAATTATTAGTGACTGCTTTTTCACTATGACAATTAGTCAAATATGACTTATAATTAGTTATTTTTGACTAATTCATTTTAAGAGAGTATAATAATAATTTGTAAATTTTATTCATTTTAAGGTTTTGTTTTTGGAATCTTTTTTTAAAATAAACCCCTTTTAATATTGGTTTTAATTTAATAAAACTGGTGCAAAGTTACCCATCAAAGTGCAAAGTAACCCCGTTTTACGGTACATATTAATTATGTTGTTATGGAAACATGTCTTCTGTCCTTTATTTTGAATCTATACGACTCATTTTACGTATAGATTATACTTATAGGATAAAAATAAGCTGCTGTTTATAAAAATCCATGGATAAATGGTGAAGTCATGAATTTTTCAGAGGAAGAGCAAAATTCAGTTTTTCGAGAATTTGTACGTTTTTTCTTCATTTTATTGAATTATGTAAAATTTAATGTTGAGCATTGATTTTTATTTTAAACATTAAATATTTAAATTAAATTATATATTGAATATTGAACAATAAATATTAAACATTGAAGATATTGAAAGTTTTATTTTGTTGTAATAAGCATAGGTTTAAAAAAATCTGGCTCCTTCTTTGTTTTTTGTTGCTTTCGTATTCCGTTTCTCGTATGAGGGACCAAATGTAATCACCCATCATGGCTGCATCCCAGAAGCCGTGATACCGCCGCTCCATAGCCTTCATTTGCTGGTGAAAACGTTCTCCGTGCTCATCACTTACGTCGCCCAGATTGTTGGGGGTTATTTACGCACTCGAACTCTCTACTTCTTTTACTCATTTTATACTTTTTATTAACTAAATAAAATCATGATAATAATACCTTGTTGAAATATCAAAAAATAACTTCGCCATTTTTCCATGTATTTTTATCAACATTAGCTTGTTTTTTTTGTAAAAATGGAAGCATCGCAAAAAAAAAATTCAAACTGGAGTTATCTGTTTTATTGAAACAGATGTAAATTTTCGACCTCAATTTTTGCCTTAAAAACGAATTTTTTATGTTATTAAAATCGCTAGCGTCAAAATACTCCGATATCAAAAGTATGTAAAAGAAAGTTTTAGAGGGCTTAAATACATTCAATTTAAAATATTTTCAATTTCATTTTACCAACAAATAAAAAAAAATGAACTCTACCTGATGGATCTTTGTATTTCATTGATACATTTTACAATCCTCATGTCAATTATTTTTATTCTTTCTTCATTATTCCTTATAATGATATTCTTGTCCACTGCCCGTAGAGCTAATTTAACCACCTTTAATGGGACAACCACATGTAAAAGACACGTTATACCCAATGTATTTAAAGCTAAAAATAAAGCAATTATAAAATAAATTTAAGTTTAATGGGGTAGTTAAATTTTTTCTGACCTATACTTTTTATAGTTTTATTCAAGGCGTTTTGTAATTTTAAACATTTCTGTAAAATCGGAATTTCAATTGAGTTTACCGTTTTCGAGATATTTACAAAAAAAAATCTCCTAATTACGTCACTAGGCTATTGACAACGTTGCCAGCTTTTTCTATGGTTGCCAGTGTGTTTAGTTTAAGATTCTTACGATAGATGGCGCCACGTTATAATATTTTAGTTTTAAAACCACTTGATCTTTAATTTTAGTTGAGAAGAAGAAGAAGAATTGATTTTTTGACGTTTCTTTTTTTCGGGTTACGTTTTTTTTTAATTTAGATTATTGAAAATCAATGTTATTGTTATGTTATTTGTAATTGATATTAGATAAGTGATTTATTAATAACGGACTCCAAAGCAGAGGAATCTTGTGGAATGGTTGGTTACATTGAACATTGGAGCTTTTAAACAAATAAAGTAAGTACCTATAATTATAATCATATTTTGTCGTAAATGCATTTCATTAGTATAATGCCTAGTTCTTTATATTCTTTTAGATATATCTTGGACTCTAAAATATCAAACAGTAATATGATACCTCGTAATAAGGAAGATAGGTACTTAATGAATTTGGTGACCATCTTTCACTCAACTGACAGTGACAGTATTTGTACATAACCTCTTCGGGTATTTTCTGACATAACCGAATGAAATCATTAACAAGACAAATTAATTAGTAATTTTCAAGTTGAAAATTTCAACCAATAGAAATCTTAGAATGTTGGTCACATGGCGAGGTTTGTGACGTCATAAAAATTTATATTTTTTGTAAATATCTCGAAAACGGTAAACTCAATTGAAATTCTGATTTCACAGAAATGTTTAATATTACAAAACGCCTTAAATAAAAAGTATAGGTCAGAAAAAATTTAACTACCCCATTAGGTTCTAAAACTAACCAAGCCCAGGCATCATATTCCCAAAATACAAATACAGCTCCAAAACAAGTCTAACGAAATAATGCCCATCGGAATACGAATAATCGAAAGGTATGTGTATTCGAAATGGATTATAACGATACGTTGAAGTTCTGTTTAGGTATGGATTGAATGCTTGGTAAGTTCCTTGGAACCAGGCATTTAGATATAATGCAGCTTCTATGAATATAAATCCAATGCAAAAAGTCAACACGTATAAAACTGAGAACATTTTTGCTTTCTTGTGCAATTTCGCATGATAGTTTTCAATTTGTTGTCTAAAAATTTTAAATATATTTACATATATACATCACAAACAACACTATTGCTCTTATTGCGCTTTAAAACTATACAATAAAACTTTTAATAAAACCAAATGATCTTATAAGACGGAAAGAAATTTTGAATACAATTAATCCAGTAAGGTAGTATTACAATCAAATTTTTGATCAATATAGCGCCAATCCCAAATTAGACTAATATCAATAATTCATTCGATTGAATTATTTGCTAGGCTTAAATGTATCAAACCGTGATAAATAGCAGCAAATAAGTTTTATAAATCACTACAAAATTTAGAATAATTATAGTGACTATTTCCCTCGTCTTAATTTCCACCAATCACAAACGCGCAATTTTGAATTACAAATGGTTTCTAGGTGAAAAAACTGTGTGACAGCACCTGTCAGCAGTTTTTTCGAGTTTACCCGCGGCAAAACTTGCAATTGCAATTTATATTTTAATTGTTAACTGTTACTCATGAAATAGTCTTGTCAAATACCATTCGGGCATCTAATTTTTCCTGTGAAAAAAATCGAAAAAACACAATGCTAAGTAATATTTTTTAACAAAAAGCATTCGTGCAGGTGCAAAAATCCTCCTCTTCGACTCGGATTTTTGTCGCCACCAGCACTCATGCTTTTTGTTAAAATATCACTTAGCAACGTATTTTTTCGATTCTTTTCAAAAAAATTAAATGCCCTTATGATATTACTTACGAAAATTAAATTAAATTCCTCTACGATTTTATAGAATCCACATAATATTTTCTTAAATTTACCAATTCTTGGATTCAATTAAGCACTTTTTAGGTCAATTTAATCTATTCTTTTAATAGTAGTTATAAAAAATTTAGCAAAATTAAGAATAATTAGGATAAAGTTTATTAGATCATTTGATTGATTCGTGCAAAATTAATCTAAATAGTTGGTAAAAATTGTATTATTTTAATCAATTCAATATTTGATTATTGACTAGAATATTGATCTTCGTAGTAAGCTGTGATAGTGGGGTAGGTAAAGTATATATACTAAATTTTGTGTTTAATAAATATTCATTTATTTTAGCTTACAAACTTTCATAAAAAATAACTCAATAAAATAATAATCTATAGGTTCAAAATACAAAAAAAATAACTCAATAATAATAATAATATAATGTATAATTTTTAAAGTTTTAAAATATTTGCGTTTAAAACCTTAAAAAACAACTGTTTAAATTTAACTTAACGGCGTCAAATTAATCAAAGATGGTGGCTGGAGATATCCCACGTGGTGCGCACAACAGTTTTCGTTCGAATGCCAACGAAATCGAACAGAAATTCTTGTGTGGATTGTGATCACGATTTTAATATTATCCATGTCCCTGACGTCTACTTGACAGTGAAAATGCTTGGTAGGAACATACCTATATTACTCTTAATAACAAAAAACGTGGAAATTAATAAAATTTATTATACCTAGATATATCGCAAAAACTATGAGAGCGAAGTCAAAATAAACGGTTTTGGAATCTGCTGTGTTGAATAGACACGATCGTTCTTTCACAATTCACTACACCACCTGTCTCGAAGAGAAACTGCAAACTAAAAGGCGTTAAAAATAAAAAATTGGCATGTTTGCTAAATTTGTTGCTTATATTACAGATTTGGTCAAAATATTAGCTTGATTTTAGCTGACTTAATAATGCAGTCAAATATTGGATAATCGTATTAAAAATTTGATAGAATTAGTTTTATATTTGATTAATGTTAGTACACATTTCATAGGTCTTTTTCTAAAATTCAGTAAATTTTTGAAATAATTCAATCTAGACAGAATTATTTTAATTTAAACATGTATAGATATTAAGCAATTATTTTATTATTTTTATTCCAAATATATTTGAAATATGTTTAAATTAAAATAATCCTGTCTAGATGAAATTATTTATTAAACATTTACAAAATTTTAGAAAAATATCTATAAAATGTGTACTAACATTAATCAAATATAAATAAAACTAATTCTATCCAAGTTTTGATACTACTTACTAATACTAGTAAAAATAAAGTTAAATCCATTTAGTTTTTATTTAAATATTATTTGATAAAATTAATCCAAATAGGAATATAATAATAAAATCCAAGAGCTGATCTTATCTATCTTTTCTTTAAAAATTAAGCTTAACGTTACATAAAGCCAATCTTAATGTTTGATTGGTTTAAGAAAAACTTTTTCTGTGACCAATCTTAACTTTGCTGTTCCTAGAAAAAAATGTATTCGATTTAGCACTTAAACGATAATGTCTATCTTAGGATGTTAATTTTAATTTGATGATATTAATCATTTGCGAAATGTACATATTTATCATAAAAAACTTTAATTTGTCAGTTTTTTTCTTGATTTATTCTATTTTAGATTAAACTAATTCATTTTGGATAAATTTTGGCTTTTCTTAAATTAATAAATGGCTTTGAATTACTTTTTCATAACATTTCTTTTCGTTTAAAATAAAACTTTTTTATAATATTAATAAAATTTATGTAAATTTAACAACAAATTAATTCAATAAACTTTCATTGTAATAATGGTCATATTTTTAACCTACTGTTGGGTGTTGGGTAGTTTTTTTTTAATAATTGCAAGGCATTAAAACAAATTATTTATTATAACAAAAAATATGAACTCACTTTTTAAACAACAAGTCTGCTTCGTTTATAGAATAGAACTTAAATATTTCTTTTAGAAAATGTCGAAATTTTAATTTTCTTAGTGATCTTTTTGATATTTTTATCATGCTAAATTTTACCACACTTCACTCCCACAAGTGAAATCAATAAGATTAAAACACAGACTGTGGATTATAAAGTTATGTTCACCAAGGAGAGCGCTGGCTCTTTCCCCCTCTTTTCAAGGGAAATAACAAAAATGTTGTTACCATTGCAAAACAATAGTAAATATTAAAAAAGTGTAGGTACACTAACAATTAACTCTTAAAATTACAATTAGTGATAATACAGACACAAACAAAAAGAAAACTTTCTAAAACTGTTTTACCCTACCTTTCCTTAACTTGACTCTTGATATTTTTATTTAATTCGAATGTAGAGTAAAAACCCTTTATTTGCTCATAGCTATATTCCTTTGTATTTAAAGATTTTACCCTTTTGGTGAGTGAAACATTATTCAAATCAAATATTCTATAGTCACACTTCTGGTCAATCAAATCGACAAACTCCAAATATTTGCTTCTGAGCATTAGATGCCACAAGCATATTCGAATGCTGCTTATAACGTGTAGGGCCATAGGAGCTAGGTTATACATGGCTTCTTTGAAGTCAGTTTTCAGCAACTCTCGAAACTGTATATACTCCAATGTTGAAAGCAAAAAGGAAATGCACATATAGTGTGGAACGTATAAAACATAAAAAACTTTCTTCCAAAATTTTGATTTTGGCACTACCAAGTGAGTGTATTTAAAAAGCTTGTAGTGCCATTTGAAATAGTTACCAGGCATCAAATTTTCTAAGAAATCCATTTTATTAGATTGGCCCATTTCTTGAACGGTTTTGATACGACTATTGTAACGTGTACATTTGCAAATAAATTTATATAAAAAATAATATTTAAATTATGTGTTGTGATAATTTGGCAAAATAACCAATTTAAGTACATACTAATAATACATAATATTGGAACAAAATTGATGCCTACCTATATGATTTTACCATTTATAAAATGTATAATATAAGAGAAAAAATAAATTTAGTACACATGGCAAATTACAAAATTACATATAACAACCAGATTCTTAAAATGTAATACATGTGCAATTTGAATAAAAAATCATTTTTCCTTTAATTACACTAGTTTACAAAATCGAAATAAAATTCTGCCCACCATATCCCATTATATATTACAAGCCCTTAAATTGAAGGTATTTGAGCCCTCTAAAACTTTCTTTTACATACTTTTGATATCGGATAAGTATTTTGACGTTAGCGATTTTAATAACTTATAAAATTCGTTTTTATGGCAAAAATTGAGGTCGAAAAATTTACATATCGTCCTGGGAAGGGTTTAAATCAAACAGATAACTCCAGTTTAAATTTTTTTTCGTTAAGCTGACATTTTTACTTAAAAAAACAAGCTAATGTTGATAAAAATACATGGAAAAATGGCGAAGTTATGAATTTTTTAGTGGAAGACCAAAATTCAGCTTTTTGACAATTTTTATTATATTTTGTAATATATTTATTCTTTAATAAAAACCAAAGTAAACTGCATGATTGAAATTTTTTGAGTTTTTCACTTACTTTTTTCACCGAAAACATTATTCAAAATTTAAATTTGACATGGCTCCGCAAACGTGAATTCTTTTGTTTCTCGTGTTGGCATAGTGACATTTTACTGCTATTTTTTAATATTTCAACAAGGTATTTTTATCATTGTTTTATTTAGTTAATAAAAAGTGTAAAATGAGTAAAAGAAGTAGAGAGTTCGAGTGCGTAAATAACCCGGACAATCTGGGCGACGTAAGTGATGAGCACGGAGAACGTTTTCACCAGCAAATGAAGGCTATGGAGCGGCGGTATCACGGCTTCTGGGATGCAGCCATGATGGGTGATTAGATTTGGTCCCTCATACGAGAAACGGAATACGAAAGCAAAAAATGTTCGATATTTATTGTTCAATTTTCAAGATATACACTCACAGGCAAAATAATCGATCCACACAAATTTTCGATGAATTTCAATCGCAAATAACTTTTTAAAAATTACTAAAAAACACACATACGTTTGTAATATACAGTTTTAAACAAAAATATGTTTTTTACCATAAGTTTAAGACACTCTGTAGAGTGGCAAAACCGTATATTGTTCTAAATTAAGTTTTAATTATCAAGTCACACCTATTTTTATCAGTTCTGTTTTTGGTTCACCTTAATATATTTATTTTTGTGGAAAATATGGATTTTTTTAAAAAAACATTGCAATTTCCAATATTTTTCCTGTATGAAGAACTAAGGTTGCTATGGTCCATCCATAGCCTATGGAGGATGACAGTGACAGTTTTGTTAAATCATCCCATACTTGAACATGTCATATACAGCTTTCAAAAGCTATCAAATTGTTTTTTGTAAATTAATGTGTTAATTTTGAGGTGTCTTCTTACTTTTAAAAATGTCTCCGACTGATGTTCCCTTTGTACTTTACTTCTTGTGACGTTTAAAACACTTGGTACGTAATACTGTAACCGTCCAACCTGTATTAAATTAAGGGCTCTGGCAACATCAGACGGAGACATATCCATTTTTTAAAGTAAGAAGACACCTCAAAATTTAAACATTAATTTGCAAAAAACTATTTGATAGCTTTTGAAAGCCGTGTATGACATGTCAAAGTATGGGATGATTCAACAAAACTGTCACTGTCATTCTCCATAGCCTATGGATGGACCATAGCAACCTTAGTTCTTCATACAGAAAAATATTGGAAATTGCAATGTTTTTAAAAAAAATCCATATTTTCCACAAAAATAAATATATCGAGGTGAACCAAAAACAAAACTATTAAGAATAGATGTGACTTGATAAATAATTTAGAACAATATACGGTTTTGCCACTCTACAGAGTGTCTTAAACTTATGATAAAAAACATCTTTTTGTTTAAACCTGTATATTATAAACGAACGTCCATTTTTAAGTAATTTTTTAAAATGTGAGCGATTGTCCATTAATTTATCTACAATATTCTTTAATATTCGTTTAAATCCGACATAAAATAAAAAAGTTATTTGCCATTGAAATTCATCGAAAATTTGTGTGGATCGATTATTTTGCCGGTGAGGGTAATTAATTTCAATATTTAATGTTTAAAATAAAAATCAATGTTCAATATTAAATTTTATATAATTCAATAAAATGAAGAAAAAACGTAAAAATTCTCGAAAAACTAATTTTACTCTTCCACTGAAAAATTTATAACTTCGCCATTTATCAATGGATTTTTATCAACAGCAGCTTATTTTTTTCCTTTAAGTATCATCTATACTTAAAACAAATCAAACTGGACCTCGATTTTTGTAAAAAAAAGGACTTTTTCAACTTCATAAAATCGCCAGTATCGAACTACTGAGCCGATACCAAAACTATACAAGAAAAAGTTGTAGAGGGCTTTGGTAAATCGATCAATTATAACCCTTTTATGTTGCATGTAACCCGGTCTCTTATTATAACTTTTGGACTTGAAAATATGACAAATTAAATCAGTTGTGCTTAATTATTTTATTTTATCCAATTAGTTCCATAGCAACAATTTACCGAAAAAAATAATTAATCATACATTTTAAATTTAATTGCTATAGCAATATTATATATTAAAAATAGGCATTAGTGGGCTATTTCTAAATAATAAACACACCTTTGTCATTCCTGTTATTTTAGGTGTCTAACAAAGCTGAACTTGTGCCAAAATTATCGATATAATTTTTAAACAAAATAACTGTAATTCAATCCCCAATCTTTAAAAGAATATCATGGCTATTTGTAAATATCAATTATAAATTACTCATGTATAAGTATTGATTTTGACGCGATATTTTTAACAAACAATTGCAATTGTAAACACGTACAAAGGTGTTTTTGAATGATCTTCTTAAAATAAGTTATTTCGGTTAAGTATCGCGTATGTGGGCGCACTAAGCTCCACATAAACTATTTTCAGATTTACTTTAGTTCAACATTTTATTTAATAAATTTATTTGCAGTTCAATTCGGTAAAATTAGTATGTTTTAAATAAAAAAATATTGGTGAAAATTTTTTGTTATTAATTAATACACTCACAGGCAAAATAATCGATCCACACAAATTTTCGATGAATTTCAATCGCAAATAACTTGTTTATTTGATGTCCGATTTAAACGAATATTAAAGAATATTGTAGATAAATTAATGGGCAATCGCTCACATTTTAAAAAATTACTAAAAAATAGACGTACGTTTATAATATACAGGTTCAAACAAAAAGATGTTTTTTACCATAAGTTTAAGACACTCTGTAGAGTGGCAAAACCGTATATTGTTCTAAATTAAGTTTTAATTATCAAGTCACATCTTTTTTTAACAGTTTTGTTTTTGATTCACATTGATATATTTATTTTTGTGGAAAATATGGATTAAAAAAAAAACATTGCAATTTCCAATATTTTTCCTGTATAAAGAACTAAGGTTGCTATGGTCCATCAATATACAGCTTTCAAAATCTATCAAATTGTTTTTTGTAAATTAATGTGTTAATTTTGAGGTGTTCTTACTTTTAAAAATGTCTCCGACTGATATTGCTCTTTGTACTTTACTTGTGGATGGCTCTGGCAACATCAGTCGGAGACATATCCATTTTTTAAAGTAAGAAGACACCTCAAAATTTAAACATTAATTTGCAAAAAACAATTTGATAGCTTTTGAAAGCCGTGTATGACATGTCCAAGTATGGGATGATTCGACAAAACTGTCACTGTCATCCTCCATAGCCTATGGATGGATCATAGCAACCTTAGTTCTTCATACAGAAATAAAAAATATTGGAAATTGCAATGTTTTTTTTTTAAGTCTATATTTTCCACAAAAATAAATATATCGAGGTGAACCAAAAACAAAACTGTTAAGAATAGATGTGACTTGATAAATAAAACTTAATTTAGAACAATATACAGTTTTTCCACTCTACAGAGTGTCTTAAACTTATGGTAAAAAATATATTTTTGTTTAAACCTGTATATTATAAACGTACGTCTATTTCTTAGTAATTTTTTAAAATGTGAGCGATTGTCCATTAATTTATCTACAATATTCTTTAATATTCGTTTAAATCCGACATCAAATAAAAAAGTTATTTGCCATTGAAATTCATCGAAAATTTGTGTGGATCGATTATTTTTCCTGTGAGTGTATAACTTGAAGCACAGCGTAAATTTTTTTTTGCAACAGCAAACAAGTTAATAATTCATGAAAAAGTAATGATATATTTTTTTAATAAATATTCATTATAATTACATAGGTACAAAAAACATCTGTGTTACTTCCCTGGGATACCCTCAATTTACATATTTAACTAATTTGCAAAACCATACAAAGATTTCATAAGTTTGTAATAAAATGTTGCGAAACATGCATCAAAATAACGGCTTTCAAAGTAAAAGTGATTTTTTCTTTTTCAACAGATGGATTTTAAAAATTGCTGGATTGTGGTTACCTGAAAATAAAACCTGGTATGTTCAGCTTATTTACAAGATATATGCTTTGACTATATTCATATCAATTTACTGTTTCTTCGTGATGACCCAGTTTATATCTCTACTTGATACATATAGTGACTTGAACGATTTAATAAAGAACTTAAGCTTTTGTTTAACCGATTTATTGACCTCAGGAAAAGTTGTATTTTGGTATTTCAACATAAGAAAATTGCAAAGTATTATACAAAGATTGGATGACGATCTATTAAAGTATGAAAGGTGTGAAGATTTTGACCCGGAGGAGGTATTTTACAACTACAAAATGATCGGGGTTAAAGCAACAGGGACTTTTATGGGCCTTGGTATATTGACTTATTTCGCTTCGGTTGTACCTCCGATATTATCGGCTCTAAAAGTACTAATCACAAATGGTGAATTTGAACCTCAACCGCTAATATATTATGCCTGGACCCCTTTTAATTACGACACCCCTAAAATGTATTTGATAGCAATAATTTATCAGGGAATCTGCATGATGTCAAAACTTTACAATATTGTTGGGCTGGATACGTTCATAATGAACCTCATGAATTTCATTGCTTATCATTTTACTTTGATTCAACAAGCCTTTTTAACAATTACTGAAAGAAAGCTACAAAGGCGGGTTTATTTAAAAAATTTAACTCCTGAAGAACATAAAATTATGGACAAAGAGATGAAGGAAATGTGCAAACTAGTACAAAAAATATTAGGGTTAGTATCTATGTCACTTTGTTGTACCCCAATATGGCACTCATTTAACAATAAATCAAACACTTTATTTAAAAGATGTTATTTGGTAAAATGCTTTTTATTGTTTTTTAAAACATTCTTCATGAAGATTTATACAGTTTTTATATATACGTTTATAGCACTTTCTTTACTCTGATTAATGTATTTTAACCAACTTTTGTTGGTATAAAAAATAGGTTTTCATTTTAAGGTGTAGTGTTCAAATTGTAAGAATGGCCTTTTACCTTGTCACCGTACTTTTAAATAAAGTGTCTTTTGGACCTCATTAGTGTCGGGTACATGAGTTTCACACCGCATGGCTACCGGGCACTGATGAGGTCCAAAAGACCCTTGGATGTGATATGTTAGATTAAAACAACCTTATTGTACGTCAATTTAAACACTTTTTTTCTAGGATTTGTGAGGAATTAGAAGAAATCCAACGCTACCTTATATTTTTCCAAACAATGGCAACTTTGTTCATTCTTTGTACCTGTCTATATCTTGTCTTATCGGTAAAAAAAACTATCAGAAAAAAGTCGCAAAATTATCGAATAAATTGTTTTTTAGAGACCCTTATTTAGTAAAGAATTTTTCGCAGAGTCATTTTACTTATTATCAATTGGAATTCAATTTTTTCTTTTCTGTTGGTTCGGAAACGAAGTCACCTTAAAAGTATTATACACAGGGTATGTATATAATGATTATTGAAATATATTTTTTTAGGCCGATCAATTGTCCATGTAAACAATTCAAAGATAGTATGATTTTAACTTTGCTTATCCTGAAAAAACCGATTTATTTCACCATTGGCAATTTTGGAGCTTTAACTCTTTCAACTTTTGTGAATGTAAGAAACATTTTTTTAAAGGGTGCCCAAAATTGTTTTTATATTTTTTTAGATTGCCAAGACATCCTATTCGTTTTGTGCATTAATTCAACAAAAAAGTGAATGATTTAATGTTTTAATGTTTAAAAACTTGTAGTTTTAGTTGACAGTAGGCACTATTTAAAACTTTACTTATACACCAAATACAATCTCGTGATTATAAAGCCTTTTTTTTAATAAATGAATACATGATTTGCAGTACTGCATGAGGTTCATTATTAACGTATCCAGCCCAACAATATTGTAAAGTTTTGACATCATCCTGGTAAATTATTTCAATCAAATACATTTTAGGGGTGTCATAATTAAAAGGGGTCCAGGCGTAATATATGAGCGGTTGAGGTTCAAATTCATCATTTGTGATGAGTACTTTTAGAGTCGATAATATCGGAGGTACAAACGTAGCGAAAAAAGTCAATAAACCAAGGCCCAAAAAAGTCCCTGTTGCTTTAACCCCGAAAATTTTGTAGCTGTAAAATATCTCCTCCGGGTCAAAACCTTCACACCTTTCGAACTTTAATTGATCTTCCTCCAATCTTCGTATAATACTTTGCAATTTTCTCATGTTGAAATACCAAAATACAACTTTTCCTAAAGTCAATAAATCGGTTAAACAAAAGCTTAAGTTCTTTATTAAATCGTTCAAGTCACTATATGTATCAAGTAGAGATATAAACTGGGTCATCACGATAAAACAGTAAACTGATATGAATATAGTTAAAGCATAAATCTTGTAAATAAGCTGAACATACCAGGTGTTATTTTCAGGTAACCACATCCAGCAATTTTTAAAATCCATCTGTTGAAAAAGAAAAAATCACTTTTACTTTGAAAGCCGTTATTTTTATGCATGTTTCGCAACATTTTATTATAAACTTATGAAATCTTTGGGTGGTTTTGCAAATTAGTTAAATATGTAAATTGAGGGTATCCCAGGGAAGTATCACAGATGTTTTTTGCATTAATTCAATACAATCACTGCAAATTATGTATTATTTTATTAAAAAAAGGCTTTATAAGTCAACTAGTATGCCCAAAAAACTTTTTTAGATTGTCAAGATATCCTTTTTATTTTTGCATTAATTCAATAAAAAAAGTGAATGATTTAATATTTTAATGTTTAAAAACTAGTTGTTTTAGTTGACTAATTAAATTGTTACTCCTGCACCAAATACAATCACTGCAAATTAAGTTTTCTTTTATTTATTTAAACCCAAACATTAACTTTTTTATTGTAAAAAATATTATTTAAATGTAGGTTTATTTCTACATCATTTTTATTTGTATACGAGTATACAGGCCCTGTATTACAGGGTTTCCCTATTTATTAGATGTTACAAGTATTTAGCAGAGGATGAAGAACAATTTTGAGATACGAATAAGGGACAACAATTTAGTAAATAGACCAATGAATCTTATTTATTTATCAGGTATAATAAATATAAGAAACAAAAATACTTAATAATAATATTTAAATTCATAATTAATCATATTTATTTTGAACAAACTGAATTTTTCATAATTTAACATTAAATTTTTTTATAATTTACTTCAATATTGAAACAAGTATCCAGAATTTTGGATAAAGCAAAAACTTCTCTTTTTTGCCTTTAACCCATACAGATGTTAAACTTAAAAATGGAAATGGAAACATTTCATTTTATATACCATTAAAAAATTGGAAAAGGGGCATTTTTAAATCCGGCAACATATTATAATATATGTGGCATGTAACAATACTTTGCCAATTTTCCGAAAAAACTGGCCAAAATTGAAAAAAAATCCATGGAACATAAATTTTTAATATATTCGGACCACTTAAGTCAATTTTATCAATACAAGTCCGCCATTTTGAATTAAAGAAAAATATCATCAAATTTGGAATTGGTGACTAAAAAAAATATTTTTTTGTAATGGTTATTTTAACCTAAACTAATAATGATTATTATGATTTAAAATCTGTATAACTTGAACATAATTAAATATGTTAATTATATTTGTATTTTATTTATTTTACACAAAAAAGTGTTACTTTACCTATAACTTTGTATTGTTTTACACAAATATATTATATATAGTACCTATGTCTTCATTTAATTATTTTAATTTGTTATTTTAACAATATATTTAAATTAATTTTTACATTATTAAATGTTTATTTTTATTTATTTTAATAAAATATTTAAATTAATATAAGAATATTGGTTTTTGGGCAAAAAATAACACATGTAATTATGTAATAATAATGATTTATTATACTATAACATAATTTTCAAAAAAGGCCAGCAATGAAGCATTGGAATTCACTACAATTGCACAGCCGAGTCCTTTTTTTGTATTCCAAAATAAAATACAAATACATGCTATAGGGTAGGTTAGATTAGCACTTGTTTGGGAGTTATTTAAACTAATGTATTATATTCATATCATTATGTATCAAGTTTGATAAGCGCCATTTTGTACACGAATTTAATTTAGGCACTAGCGAGCTGCGAGCGAGTGCTTAAATTAATGAGTGTATAGAAAAGTTTATAAATGAGGTGCATACCATACTTTTTCGGCGAAAAATACTTATTATTATCTTAAAATGATTTAAATCAAAAAATTTTATAGAGCGCCATCTATGAAACAATAGGGGAATCTGTGTGTCACCGTCAAATGTCAAATTTTTGTATTTTATAAACACAGATTATAAAGGTTCTAAATGCATTTCTTGAAAATTGACAGTTTTTCACAGTGAATGTAAAGAAAATGTTTTATGAGCACTTTACAGTGGATTCATGGGCGCCGCTACATAGGGGCAGGGGGCCCCCCCCTGGAAATTCATACCCAGAAATTCCGGTACTCCATAATTTGTATAATATTATAAATAACCATAATACCTAATAGCTAGGCGTGTTGCAAAACGAAAAATAAGACGTGTTACACACAAAAATTGCCTGTTGTTACTACTCTATGTCATGCTATAGCATAACATCGATATGTATTTCCTAAAAAAGTCGCTACAGTGCAACCACATTTTTTTATGTTTTAAGTTTTTGTTATTGTTATAACTTATTTTTAAAATATTACTATTTAATTTTTTTGTTATAGGTATTTTAATTTATCATAATTTGTATAGCGTATACATAAGAGGGCTGTACTACTAGAGGAGATTCCTCGGCGATACAATTTTTTTATATTTATATATTTACCAAAAAACTGTGATGTATTTTTTTGCAATATGTACCAAAATAAATAAATAGGTAAATATACATATAAAGATGATATTTTATTTGACTTAAGTTTAATGTGAACTTCTACAGTACAACTTGATTATAAATAACATCTATCAAAATTGTAAAAAACTTTAAGGCCCCCCCCTAGACGAATTCCTTCCGGCGCCCATGAGTGGATTCCGTGCCCGAATTTAAGTTATAGTTTACTGCCGGCGAAATTAAAAGGTCAGTACAATGTTCATATAAACTTTTCAAATATTTAATACTTTTGTATTTTTGTATTGAGATAATAAAATAATTTTCACATTTAGTATTATTTTACAAGAAAGGCACTTTATTTTAACGATTGTATGACATTTAACAATAGTCAACTAACTTAAAACTAACTTCAGCCCGTGACTAAAAACCTGTTGCTAACTTCAGCCCGTGACTAAAGCGCCATAAAGCGACAACTTGTATTTAAAAGGTCACTTAGTGTAATGGAAACATGTACGATAAAGGGCGTTTTAAAGGTGGGAGTAGAAAAAATATTTTATTTTACATACCTTGGTTTAATATGATTCTATCTGCCATTATCTCAAAAATTAAATTTTTGCATAAAAAGGTTCTATGCACAATATAGAAATCTTTTTATGCAAAAATCACATTTTCGAGAAAAAATAAAATATATTTAAGATATAAGAAAGCCGCACTTCTATTTAAAAACTCATTATAAACATACAAAAAATTGTAGGCAAATAAATCCTGTAGAGGCAATTTTTGTTTGATTTTTTTAATGGCCGCAGAAAAAATAAAGGACCAAAAAAAGCTGCCCCCTAAAATAAATAAAAGAACACATATTTTGCAGTGATTGTATTTGGTGTATGAGTAACATTTTAATTAGTGCCTGGGTCAACTAAAAGTACCTATACGGTTTTAAACATTAAATCATTGACTTTTTTGTTGAATTAATGCAAAAATGAGTAGGATTTCTTGACAATCTAAAAAAGTTTTACAATTTTTTTGGGGCCTACATTTATATCGACCTAGTTGACATATAAAGCCTTTTTTAAATAAATGAATACACAATTTGCAGTTATTGTATTTGGTGTATGAGTAACATTTTAATTAGTGCCTACTAGGGTGAGCCAAAAAAACTAACCTATTGAATTTATGGGTTAAAATGAACCTATATACCGAGAAAAAAATGTCCCTGCAAGGCAGGATTTTCAGCTCAATTTTAAAAGGTGTCGGTGACCATTTAAAGTTTCCCATTTAAATAACACGTAAAAAATCTTCTTTCATTAAAAATACCATAACTTTTGAACCGTTTACGATAAAAATTTTTACGTCGCGGATTCTTGTAGAGCATAAAATTTCCTGAAAAAATCTACCCCCGGATTATTTTTTTCAATTAAAAAATTCGTATATTTGAAAGCTTTGAAAAGTGAAAAAAATCAAAATATTCAGTTTTAGTGATTTTTAACACTTTTCAAAGCTTTCAAACATACGAATTTTTGAATTGAAAAAAATAATCCTGGGATAGATTCTTTGGGAAATTGTATGCTCTACAAGAATCCGCGACCTAAAATTTTTTATCGTAAACAGTTCAAAAGTTATGGTATTTTTAATGAAAGAAGATTTTTTACGTGTTATTTAAAAGGGAAACTTTAAATGCTCACCGACACCTTTTAAAATTGAGCTAAAAATCCTGCCTTGCAGGGAAATTTTTTTCTCGGTACATAGGTTCATTTTAACCCATAAATTGAAAAGTTTAGTTTTTTTGTCTCACCCTAGTGCCTACTGTCAACTAAAACTAAAAGTTTTTAAACATTAAAACCTTAAAACATTAAATCATTCACTTTTTTGTTGAATTAATGCAAAAAATAAATAGGATGTCTTGACAATCTAAAAAAATGTTACAATTTTTTTGGGGCCTACATTTATATCGACCTAGTTTACATATAAAGCCTTTTTTTATAAAAGAATACATAATTTGCAGTTATTGTATTTGGTGTATAAGTAACATTTTAATTAGTGCCTGAGTCAACTAAAACTACACGTTTTTAAACATTAAAACATTAAATCATCCACTTTTTGGTTGAATTAATGCAAAAAATGAATAGGATGTCTTGGCAACCTAAAAAAATATGAAATCAATTTTTGGCACCCTTAATAAAAAATGTTTCTTACATTCACAAAAGTTGAAAGAGTCAAAGCTCCAAAATTGCCAATGGTGAAATAAATCGGTTTTTTCAGGATAAGCAAAGTTAAGATCATACTATCTTTAAATTGTTTACTCATTGCAATCCAATTCGACCTCCAAATAAATATGGACAATTGATCGGCCTAAAAAATATATTTCAAATAATCATTAGATACCATGTGTATAATACTTTTAAGGTGACTTCGTTTCCGAACCAACAGAAAAGAAAAAACTGAATTCCCATTGCTATTAAATAAAATGCCTCTCCGAAAAATTCATCACTAAACAAGGGTTTCTAAAAAAATCATTACATGTTTTTTTTTACTAGTTTTTTTACCGATGAGACTAGATATAGACAGGTACAAAGAATAAACAAAGTTGCCATTGTTTGAAAAAATATAAGGTAGCGTTGGATGTTTTCTAATTCCTTACAAATCCTAGAAAAAAAGTGTTTAAGTTGACAGTACAATAAGGTAGTTTTAGTCTAACATATCACATGCAAGGGTCTTTTTGGACCTTATCAGTGCCCGGTAGCCATGCGGTGTGAAACTCATGTACCCGACACTAATGAGGTCCAAGAGACACTTTATTTAAAAGCACAGTGACAAGGTAAAAGGCCATTCTTACAATTTGGACACTACACCTTAAAATGAAAACCTATTTTTTATGCAAACAAAAGTTGGTTGAAATACATTAATCAGAGTAAAAAAAGTTCTATAAACGTATATAAAAACTGTATAAATCTTCATGAAGAATGTTTTAAAAAACAATAAAAAGCATTTTACCAAATAACATATTTTAAATAAAGTGTTTGATTTATTGTTAAATGAGTGCCATATTGGGGTACAACAAAGTGACATAGATACTAACCCTAATATTTTTTGTACTTGTTTGCACATTTCCTTCATCTCTTTGTCCATAATTTTATGTTCTTCAGGAGTTAAATTTTGTAAAGAAATCCGCCTTTGTAGCTTTCTTTGAGTAATTGTTAAAAAGGCTTGTTGAATCAAAGTAAAATGATAAGCAATGAAATTCATGAGGTTCATTATTAACGTATCCAGCCCAACGACATTTTGAACTTTTGAAATCAAGGAGGTAGCCTGGTAAATTTGTGCTATCAAATACATTTTAGGGGTGTAATAATTAAAATGGGTCCAGGCGGAATATAGGAGCGGTTGAGGTTCAAATTCATCATTCGTGATTAGTACTTTTAGAGTCGATAATATCGGAGGTACAACCGAAGCGAAAAAAGTCAATAAACCAAGGCCCAAAAAAGTCCCTGTTGCTTTAACCCCGAAAATTTTGTAGCTGTAAAATATCTCCTCCGGGTCAAAATCTTCACACCTTTCGTACTTTAATTGATCTTCCTGCAATCTTTGTATAATCCTTTGCAATTTTCTTATGTTGAAATACCAAAATACAACTTTTCCTGTGGCCAATAAATCGGTTAAACAAAAGCTTAAGTTCTTTATTAAATCGTTTAAGTCACTATATGTATAAAGTAGAGATATATATAAACTCGGTCATTACGAAAACACAGTAATTTGATATGAATATGGTTAAAGCATATATCTTGTAAATTAGCTGAACATACAAGGTTTTATTTTCAGGTAACCACAATCCAGCAATTCTTAAAATCCATCTGTTGAAAAAGAAAAAATCACTTTTACTTTGAAAGCCGTTATTTTGATGCATGTTTCCCAACATTTTATTATAAACTTATGAAAACTTTGTGTGTTTTTGCAAATTAGTTAAATATGTAAATTGAGGTTATCCCAGGGAAGTATCACAGATGTTTTTATGTACCTTGTAATTATAATAATAATTACCCTCTTAAATATGCCTACACGATAATTATCGCTTGATACAGCGATAATTGTCTACTAGGAATCGATAATTCCATTGTATCTACGTATCCATGGCATTTAAAAAAAATAACGTCAGTTTTTATTTTAATGTGACAGTTATTTAAAATTTCACGTTTTGGTAAAGAATCATTTGAATCAATTAATGAAAATGTGAAAAATAGTGTACCAAAAAATACTGCAAACAACAAAAAATATTTGAAAATGTTATTAATTGATTTAATTAGTTTATTCGTGAAATTATCTAAACAAATCACACTCGTGCATAAAAATAATCAGATAATTTTGCATTCAAGCAAATTGTCTTTTAAAAAATGCATTTGGTCATTTTCATATTTAGAGGAAAAAACCCTCCACCTTCGGTATTTACCCCCGAATATTTATTAAAAATAGTATATTATATTATGTATCAAGTTTGATAAACGCCATTTTATACACGAATTTAATTTAGGAACGAGCGAGCTTGCGAGCGAGTGCTTAAATTAATGAGTGTATAGAAAAGTTTATAAACGAGGTGCTTTTTCTACGACAAATACTTATTATTATCTTAAAATGATTTAAATCAAAAATTTGTATAGAGCGCCATCTATGAAACAATAGGGGAAACTGTGTGTCACCGTCAAATGTCACATTTTTTTACTTTATAAACACAATTATAAAGGTTATAAATCGAAATGTATTTCTTGAAAATTAACAGTTTTTCACAGTGAAAGTAAAGAAAATGTTTTATGAGCACTTTACAGTGGAGTCCTGGCCTGAATTTAAGTTATAGTTTACTGCCGGCGAAATTAAAAGGTCAGTACAATGTTCATATAAACTTTTCAAATATTGGCGTAGAGAAACTATTTAATACTTTTTTATTTTTGTATTGAGATAATAAAATAATTTTCACATTTAGACTAATGATTTAGTATTATTTTACAAGAAAGGCAATTTATATTAACGATTGTATGACATTTGACAACTGTCAACTAACTTAAAACTAACTTCAGCCCGTGACTAAAAACCTGTTGCTAACTTCAGCCCGTGACTAAAGCGCCATAAAGCCACAACTTGTCAATGTGTATTTAAAAGGTCACTTAGTGTAATGGAAACATGTACGATAAAGGGCGTTTTAAAGGTGGGAGTAGAAAAAATATTTTATTTTACATATCGCTACCTTGGTTTAATATGATTCTATCTGCCATTATCTCAAAAATGAAATTTTTGCATAAAAAGGTTTTATGTACAATATAGAAATCTTTTTATGCAAAAATCACATTTTCGAGAAAATGGCTGATAAAACCAAGGTATCGATATGTAAAATAAAATATATTTAAGATCTAAGAAAGCCGCACTTCTATTTAAAAACTCATAATAAACATACAAAACATTGTAATCAAATAAATCATGTAGTGGCAATTTTTATTTGATTTTTTTAATGGCTACAGAAAAAATAAAGGCCCAAAAAATTGGCTGCAAATAAATCATGTAGTGGCAATTTTTGTTTGATTTTTTTAATGGCCGCAGAAAAAGTAAAGGCCTAAAAAAATGGCTGCCCCTTAAAATAAATAAAAGAACACATGTTTTGCAGTAAGTGTATTTGGTGTATGAGTAACATTTTAATTAGTGCCTGGGTCAACTAAAAGTATACGGTTTTAAACATTAAATCATTTACTTTTTTGTTAAATTAATGCAAAAAATAAAAAGGATATCTTGACAATCTAAAACAGTAAAACATTAAATCATTCACTTTTTTGTTGAATTAATGCAAACAATGAATAGGATGTCTTGGCAATCTAAAAAATATAAAAACAATTTTGGGCATCCTTTAAAAAAATGTTTCTTACATTCATAAAAGTTGAAAGAGTCAAAGCTCCAAAATTGCCAATGGAAAAATAAATAGGTTTTTTCAGGATAAGCAAAGTTAAAATCATACTATCTTTGAATTGTTTACTCATTGCAATCCAATTCGACCTCCAAATAAACATGGACAATTGATCGGCCTAAAAAAATATATTTCAATAATCATTATACATACCCTGTGTATAATACTTTTAAGGTGACTTCGTTTCCGAACCAACAGAAAAGAAAAAACTGAGTTCCCATTGATATTAAGTAAAATGCCTCTCCGAAAAATTCGTCACTAAACAAAGGTTTCTAAAAAAAAATCATTACATGTTTTTTCGATTTTTTTACTAGTTTTTCTACCGATGAGACTAGATATAGACAGGTACAAAGAATGAACAAAGTTGCCATTGTTTGAAAAAATATAAGGTAGCGTTGGATGTTTTCTAATTCCTTACAAATCCTAGAAAAAAAGTGTTTAAGTTGACAGTACAATAAGGTAGTTTTAGTCTAACATATCACATGCAAGGGTCTTTTTGGACCTCATCAGTGCCCGGTAGCCATGCGGTGTGAAACTCATGTACCCGACACTAATGAGGTCCAAAAGACACTTTATTTAAAAGCACGGTGACAAGGTAAAAGGCCATTCTTACAATTTGGACACTACACCTTAAAATGAAAACCTATTTTTTATGCAAACAAATGTTGGTTGAAATACATTAATCAGAGTAAAAAAAAGTTCTATAAACGTATATAAAAACTGTATAAATCTTCATGAAGAATGTTTTAAAAAAAAATAAAAAGCGTTTTACCAAATAACATATTTTAAATAAAGTGTTTAATTTATTGTTAAATGAGTGCCATATTGGGGTACAACAAAGTGACATAGATACTAACCCTAATATTTTTTGTACTTGTTTGCACATTTCCTTCATCTCTTTGTCCATAATTTTATGTTCTTCAGGAGTTAAATTTTGTAAAGAAATCCGCCTTTGTAGCTTTCTTTGAGTAATTGTTAAAAAGGCTTGTTGAATCAAAGTAAAATGATAAGCAATGAAATTCATGAGGTTCATTATTAACGTATCCAGCCCAACGACATTTTGAACTTTTGAAATCAAGGAGGTAGCCTGGTAAATTTGTGCTATCAAATACATTTTAGGGGTGTCATAATTGAAAGGGGTCCAGGCGTAATATACGAGCGGTTGAGGTTTAAATTCATCATTTGTGATTAGTACTTTTAGAGTCGATAATATCGGAGGTACACACGAAGCGAAAAAAGTCAATAAACCAAAGCCCAAAAATGTCCCTGTTGCTTTAACCCCGAAAATTTTGTAGCTGTAAAATATCTCCTCCGGGTCAAAATCTTCACACCTTTCGTACTTTAATTGATCTTCCTCCAATCTTTGTATAATCCTTTGCAATTTTCTTATGTTGAAATACCAAAATACAACTTTTCCTGTGGCCAATAAATCGGTTAAACAAAAGCTTAAGTTCTTTATTAAATCGTTTAAGTCACTATACGTATAAAGTAGAGATATAAACTCGGTCATTACGAAAAAACAGTACATTGATATGAATATAGTTAAAGCATATATCTTGTAAATAAGCTGAACATACCAGGTTTTATTCTCAGGTAACCACAATCCAGCAATTTTTAAAATCCATCTGTTGAAAAAGAAAAAATCACTTTTACTTTGAAAGCCGTTATTTTGATGCATGTTTCCTAACATTTTATTATAAACTTATGAGAACTTTGTGTGTTTTTGCAAATTAGTTAAATATGTAAATTGAGGTTATCCCAGGGAAGTATCACAGATGTTTTTATGTACCTTGTAATTATAATAATAATTACCCTCTTAAATATGCCTACACGATAATTATCGCTTGATACAGCGATAATTGTCTACTAGGAATCGATAATTCCATTGTATCTACGTATCCATGGCATTTAAAAAAAAATAACGTCAGTTTTTATTTTAATGTGACAGTTATTTAAAATTTCACGTTTTGGTAAAGAATCATTTGAATCAATTAATGAAAATGTGAAAAATAGTGTACCAAAAAATACTGCAAACAACAAAAAATATTTGAAAATGTTATTAATTGATTTAATTAGTTTATTCGTGAAATTATCTAAACAAATTACACTCGTGCATAAAAATAATCAGATAATTTTGCATTCAAGCAAATTGTCTTTTAAAAAATGCATTTGGTCATTTTCATATTTAGAGGAAAAAACCCTCCACCTTCGGTATTTACCCCCGAATATTTATTAAAAATAGTATATTATGTATCAAGTTTGATAAACGCCATTTTATACACGAATTTAATTTAGGAACGAGCGAGCTTGCGAGCGAGTGCTTAAATTAATGAGTGTATAGAAAAGTTTATAAACGAGGTGCTTTTTCTACGACAAATACTTATTATTATCTTAAAATGATTTAAATCAAAAATTTGTATAGAGCGCCATCTATGAAACAATAGGGGAAACTGTGTGTCACCGTCAAATGTCACATTTTTTTACTTTATAAACACAATTATAAAGGTTATAAATCGAAATGTATTTCTTGAAAATTGACAGTTTTTCACAGTGAAAGTAAAGAAAATGTTTTATGAGCACTTTACAGTGGAGTCCTGGCCTAAATTTAAGTTATAGTTTACTGCCGGCGAAATTAAAAGGTCAGTACAATGTTCATATAAACTTTTCAAATATTGGCGTAGAGAAACTATTTAATACTTTTTTATTTTTGTATTGAGATAATAAAATAATTTTCACATTTAGACTAATGATTTAGTATTATTTTACACGAAAGGCACTTTATTTTAACGATTCTATGACATTTGACAACTGTCAACTAACTTAAAACTAACTTCATCCCGTGATTAAAGCGCCATAAAGTCACAACTTGTCAATGTGTATTTAAAAGGTCACTTAGTGTCATGGAAACATGTACGATAAAGGGCGTTTTAAAGGTGGAAGTAGAAAAACTATATTATTATACTATGTACAAAAAATATTATTTAATATTCCTAAATCTTTTGAAATTTTAAGATTTTAATTATTATAGTTTTTGTATTAAGCAAAATATATCATTTATGTTATAAACACTAGGAAGTTTATGTAAATTTTTACATGTTTTATTTAACATATATATATATACATTTTAACACAAATTTTATAAATTTTTAACTGTGTAATTGTTTATAAAAAGAAATTGTGCAACATGCCATTGTAGCATAATTTTCTATAAATGTGCTACGTTATCCAAAATAGTTGGATTTTTTTTCTAATTGGTTTGTTTAAGTCAATTTTCTATAATTTGTTGGAAACAGTAAAAAAATTTAATTTAACCATTTGCACGATATTGTCAAGAAAAGAGTTGAAATCTGTTGTTAAAAATATTTCGAAAATAAATGTTTCCCTTTTGTAACAATTTGTAAATATAGTTTAACTTTGAGTTAGAATATACATTTTACAATATTGGACAATTACAATTACAAATTTACCTTAATTAAATGATCATTCAATAGTCTAAACATTGCTACAATAGTGTGTAAAATTTAATTCAATTATACAGAGTGGTCCCAGAGATTCTATTTTTTCAATTTTACCATGCTCTAAAGTTTGACAAAATTATTAACTTTAATAACATTACTAAAAAATAAAATTTCAAAACAATTTTTTTACTGTGACATATGGGTCATGCCTACTACACAATTATGTGATTATTTTCAAAATCGGTGATTTCGTAAAAATTTCTGGTCCCACTTGACGTGGCTTGACTCAGTTTTAGTTAGTGCACTGAAAAAAAACAATGGTTATCTTAATCGAATATTCTGATTAGTATAGGCACAGTCATATATACTGTTATGTTAAACATGTTTATATTTTAACAGTTTTATTGTCACTTTAACTATATTTTTGTTGTTGCACAAAACAATAATTTATTTAGTTGTAATAATCATATGCAAATACCTTATAACCCTCTATATGGTTAAATATACTATACGTATGATATGTACAAACTTTCTGTATAGTAAAAACTACAACGACATATTGTTAATAATGTGTGACAACATTATATTGTTATTGTAACCAGATAATCTTATAATTTTAACCATCTAGTGTAGTACTAACAGTTTAGCCGTACATGATGGTTGTAATAGCCTAATCAAATATCTAACTGTACTAAATTTTTATAACAAAATGATAGGAGTACATATAACAAAACTAATTTTTCGTATATTGTTATTACAACCATAACTTATAATTAAATGAACCATATTTTGCATAACAAATCTATATTGTTAGGGATTACAATATATTTTCTTAGAGTGTGCTAGGAAGTGTATCATTGTGATGTTAGTACCACATTTCTGGTGAGTAATTATTGAATATTATTTTTGCGAACAGGTAGGTATTTGCAAAATTGTGCAGGGGCTGGGATAAATCAATAATGTGCTACATTATTGATCAGCTTACTATTTATTTTAGTTTGTAATTCGTGTTTATTTTATGTTTTCAGTTTATATTAACTTAATTCTATCCTTACAACATTTTTGTGTTGGTCGCTGAATATATATTTAATCTATCGACATTTGTACTATTATAAGTGGAGACGCACTACATGTTGTATTATATCTCAATATTATTAGAATTAGCTATACGAATTTTATTTTTCAGTTTGTAGTTTATTTTTTGTTATGTTTATTTTATGCCGTTGGTGTCAGTTTATTTTAAGTTTTAGGTATTCTATTTTCAATATTTTTTGTATAAGTAGCTGAATACAGGTATCTAAATTAATAATTTATTTTCATTTTTCTTTTTACCACCCTCGCATCCCAAGAATTATTAAAAATTTTAAATAAATTGGAGAAATTATTATTAAACAATGTTGTGTTATTATGTACCACAATTTGTGAAATTTCACCACAAAATATTATATTAAAAAGGTCTCTAAAATATTCATTTACTCACACAAATTATATGAGCCGATTAGATTAAAATATGTTCAAATGTCAAATAAATTATGTAAGTTTTAAATATAATAAGTACATATAACTAAAAATATAATAGGTATACCTACGTATAACTACAATTATTTGCTAAAATTTGCACAAATTGTTCCTGTCACTTTTTTAGCACCAATTTGTTGAACAAATTTATACAATTACACTATAGTTTACAGCCATTTTGCTTAACTAAATAAAACCATTAATAAAAATACCTCGTTGAAATATCAAAAAATATTAGTAAAATGTCACTATGCTAACACGAGAAACAAAAGAATTCACGTCATGTCAAATTTAAATTTTGAATAATGTTTTCGGTGAAAAAAGTACGTAAAAAACTAAAAAAATTCCCCACTTAAATTAGGTTTTCATTAAAGAATAAACATATTACAAAATAAAAGAAAAAAAATAAAATAAAAATCGTCAAAAAGCTGAATTTTGTTCTTCCACTAAAAAAATCATAACTTCGCCATTTTTCCATGTATTTTTATCAATATTAGCTTGTTTTTTTTGTAAAAATGTCAGCTTCACGAAAAAAAATTCAAACTGGAGTTATCTGTTTGATTTAAACCTTTCCCAGGACGATATGTAAATTTTCGACCTAAATTTTTGCCATAAAAACGAATTTTTTAAGTTATTAAAATCGCTAGCATCAAAATACTTATCCGGTATAAAAAGTATGTAAAAGAAAGTTTTAGAGGGCTTAAATACCTTCAATTTAAGGGCTTGTTTGACCAAATCGATCAATTAGATTTCAAGCTACTCAAAAACGTCAAAACACCTCCGAAAATTGAAAAAAAACTACACTATATTTTTACTCAAAATTTTTATTACTACGGACGCACAGTGTTTCAATTCTCGAAAATATCGACAAAACCTCAATAATTGACATTTTTTTTCAGCTAAATTTTGAGTTAGATGGGTAGTTAATACCTGTTTCCATCCTGTATTAAAAAAATTATATAAGCTATTTTATAAAAATATGTTTTATTAAGATTTTAAAAAGAACCTCTTACAGGTTTTTAATTAATTTTGACAATTTTTAGATAAAAATGGCCGCCATCAGCGACCCCAAAAACCCCTGTATGGTGATTTTCAATTTATTCCGTCAATTTTTTGACTTATATGTCCGCCATTTTGGATCTACCATTTTGAATTTAGGAATTATGATTCCAGATTCGTTATTTTGCCGAAACACTGTGGGACGCTATAATTTCCGAGAAACGTGGAATGGTTGTTTAATAATAATAATAATAAACTTTATTTATGGTAGTTTTAGTTATTTTTAGTTATTTTAGTTATTTTTAGTTATTTTTTGTTATTTTTAGTTATTTTTAGTTATTGAACACTCTTTTGCTGGAAGTACCTACTTTATAAATTTAGTTGCTTAAAAATTGCATGTGAAAAACATGACAACAACAAAATATATTAAAAGGTGAATATTTTGATTTCAAAACATGTTTTCAAGGTGAAATAAAAATATATCGGGTTGAAAGATTCAAAAATCGAAATTGATAAAAAAGCGTAAGATTGCGATACGCCTACTACGATTTTAAAGCCAACGGTGGGAACCGACGCCTTGCATCGCGACGCTTAGTGTGTGTACTTCAGCGATCGTGTAAAAAGCGGCAACGATTTTTAACAGGTACGTTTTTTTGATTTTGAGGTGAAAATTTTATTTGTTTAACTATAGATTGCATGGTGAATATATTTTTTTATTAAATTAATTTTTGGTATTCCACAAAATAAATGTTTTAACGGTATATGAAACTACTTTTTAATATATATAGTTTTTACGCTTTTGGCAGTTTATAATCCTGGTAACAGTTATAATTTCATAAACGCGTAAATTTAGACGTAAACGAATTCTTGGCACTATTTTAGTTTGGTTTAAAAAAAACAGTGTTTCAACATTTGCATATTAATTTTCAAAAATAAACGAAAAACATTGTAAATCAAATAAAATTGGATCATTTCGAGTTTTCACTTTTAAATAATAACTTATTTTACCAAAAGATGAAAAATAAAAACCAAATTATATTTTTTTTGTTTTGGCTCACACTTGCTTGGAATTGAGACGTTATACATACTGTGACACATACTTACATAACTATGATTTTAAACATTGTTTACATACATGGTGTTATTTAATTAATGTAATATATTAAAATACTGAATTCCTTTTGACATAAGATGTAACGGAAAAATATTTAATTTTTATATATATTTTTATAACATAAGTGGTTCTGCACTAATACAAGAATTTTAAGAAATCATAAATTTTGAATATTAGGGCTTCACAGAAGATAGCTTCACGGAGGTTAGGATTTCGTATGTTTTTTTTAAACATACCTTTGTATATTTGAAATAAGTTATTGTATCTTTTGACAAATTAATATTTTTAAAAATACAGTTGTACTATGCTCCAGACCTCAAAGTCCCACCACGTGACCACGTACGGAACGCAGTCTTTTGAAAATTTGGCATTTAAGGCTTTTCAGGTTAGGTATCTGTCAAAGTATAGTCAATGAAAGAAATAATATTTTGTGTTACCGCTTATGTTTAAGCGTTAAAAGTTAATAAATCTTTATAGCATCACAATAACAATGGTTGGTTTAGGAATTTAGAAATATAAATACTGCCTTTAATGAAGTAATAAGTGTAAGGTGCAATATAAGTGATATTTTTGTGCATTGGGTCTACATTTCTCCATAAAATAGTTTTAACTAAACAGCATTTATTAAAAAAAATCTAACCTCTATTATGAAATAAGAATATCTGTATCAAAGGTAGGTTAATGTATAAGAACAAAAAATATCATCTAATTTTGTATTTTAAGGTTAGAAAAATCTATTTTGGCCAAAATAAATAAGTGTATTATTTGAAAGAGTGTGTTAATATGGTCATAAATAAATATAGGTATACTAAATAATTGTTGAATATAGTTCAAATTAAATTGAAGCTTTTATACTTCTAACGACAAAACTTGTGCATACTTACTTTAAGTTGGATTATAAGAAAACAAACAATTTTTAGAGAAACTTGCAATGTGAAAATATTTAATACTCCCATGACATGTGATTTATTAAAATTTTTAAAGTTATAATGATTTTTTGATGTAGATCAAATTCAGTCGAAGCTTTTTAACTATTTGTATTGACAAAACTTTATGTAGGCAGATATTTGGACCAAATGCACAAAAATATTACTTATTTGGCACCATACACTTTAGAATTTCATTAAATGCAGTATTTATATTCTTAAATTCTTAAACCATCCATTGTTATTCTAATGTTATAAAGATTTATACATTTTTAACGCCTAAACATAATATTATTTCTTTCGTTGACTATACTTTGACAGATACATAACCTGAAATGCCTTAAATGCCAAATTTTCAAAAGACTGCGTTCCGTACGTGGTCACGTGGTGGGACTTTGAGGTGTGGAGCATAGTACATACGTAAAATATTTATAACAAAGATCTACTTACTGAGATATTACACTTCACGGTGGATAGGTTTTTAAATAGCAAATTAACGAACTTAAACTCTTCAATTATAAAACAGCAACACTCTCATCTGCATATAAATTCTAACTGACCTGAATCACATGCATCTATAATGTGGTAAACAGAGATTTTTGCTTATTTAAAATGATTAAACCGCCATCCGTTGCATAAAATTTAAAGCAAAAACAGATTCACGGAGGATAGAATCAATTTTTATAACACCTACATAAATGGTTATAAAAATTATTTCTTTTAATTTTTAATAATATTTTATATTTGATTCGATTGCTTTGGATGTGTTTAATTTACTTAGTGAAGTGATATTTTTAGTATGCTTTTACTACTTTGAAAATAGTCACGGAGGATAGTTTTTGTTTAAATTTACCTTCATTAAAATTTAAATAAAAATGGAAATCCTAAATAGAACTAACTTTTTTAATGCATAATATTATTTAAAAGATAGTTTTAATCTAAAAAAAACTCTGTTGACAGATGTTACAAGAATGTATTATGCCACAAATCTCAACTAACCCTTGTGCATAAGGCTATTAGTCAGAGTGAGACTAAGCAACTTGTATTCAACGAAATCTTTTAATAGAATTCATCGTGTATCCACCAACATTCCTCTAACACTGACGATATTTATTAAAAAGATGTATATGCTTAATTCTAGTGTTACATTAGGTGCCATGCCAACAAGGTTTTTGCACGCACTAACAAAATCATCGATGCCAAGAATATAAAAATTTTGCAACATTAACGATAAATTTCATATTTGATATAAATAGATAACTGGCTGGTTGTGTTTCAAAAGTGTTTTATCCCGGCGAATCCACCATTTTTACTATAAAACTGAAACTAAAAAACTAACTATTTTTGTTATGAAATTTATGTTTGTGTTACAATGGGTGATACTCAAAAAAATGTACTTAAAAATGTGTAATATTATTTAACTTAAATTTAAAATTGTAATAGCTATAAAAAAATGTACCTTTTTTATTAAATTTTCAGTGTCTTATTGGGACAAAAATCTACGATTTGTCAAAGTAATGAGATTATTTTTATTTACAGAATAAACTTTTTTTACTGTTAATAAAATTCTCATTTACTATAATGAAGCAGCAATGTTGTGCTTTTATAAAAAAAAATGTTCATCCAACAAAGTACTAGTTGTTATCATATTGTCAAGGCAATAAGAAATACTTTATGTTTATATTAAATCTTTGTCGAACTTAAAATGTTCTTGTTAAATCTATAGTTGTGTGTGAATTGCGCTTACATAAAGTTGTTATACTAAAATTTGTTCATTTTACTATGGCATATTTGTCTTTTTTTAATTACTATTGTTGTAATTCAAATTAATTTTAATTCAGTTAGAAAATCTTTGTTAATAGCTTAACAATAACAAAAATATTTTATTGCTATAAAAAGACTTCTTTAATATTTACTATTGTTTTGCAATGGTAAAAATTTTTTTGTTATTTCCCTTAAAAAGAGGGGGAAAGGGCCAGCGCTCTTCTTGGTGAACATAACTTTATAATCCACAGTCTGTGTAATAATCTTATTGATTTCACTTGTGCGAGTGAAGAGTGGTAAAATCTAGCATGATAAAAATATCAAAAAGATCACTAAGAAAATTAAAATTTCGACGTTTTCTAAAAGAAATATTTAAGGTATATTCTATAAACGAAGCAGACTTGTTGTTTAAAGAGTTTATTTTTATTTTCATATAGACCTAGAATATGAGTTAATTTTTTTTGTTATAATAAATAATTTGTTTTAATGCCTTGCAGTTAGGTTGAAAATAGTTTATTGAATTAACAATTAATTTGTTGTTAAATTTACATAAATTTTATTAATATTATAAAAATAAGTTTTATTTTAAACGAAAAGGGATTTGTAAAATTTTCAAAATTTCTATGAATAATACCATTAGGGTTTCATTAATACTACAAAACGTTTTTGTAAACGGTATAAAACTGTTTTTTAAATATAATAATAACTATATTTATCAATGCGTTTCTGCATCAACAAAAGTAATTGTTGGGCGAATCTTTACTTTATTTTGACAAACTACTTTTTTATATTTATTAAAATAATAGTAATAATTACACTAATCATGATATTCTAAACATGTTTTATACATATGGCGAGTGCGGAAAAGTTTTAGAAAGAACAATAAAAACTTTTATCTACGCCAGTGAGATAAGAACTTCTTATCCCACTCATTTTGAGTGAGATAAGAAGTTCATTAACGCACGCGTTTTTCTCTGCTTTTAACCAATCAAATAAAAAAGTCAAAATGTCGAAATGTCAAAATAACCCTAAATTAAGTCTTAGACAAAAATAATTACCGTTTATTTTTTCATTTAGAGGCGTAGATAAAATTTTTTACAATATACGTGTGATAACGCTTTATTAACGTACTTTTGCGATTGCCCAACTCGTGCTACGCACTCGTTGGGCAAATTTCGCATGCGTACAATTGGCGTCCCCGAAATGTGAACGGCAAAATTTAATCGTGTAATATGGGCTTTGCATCAGTGTCGTCGGTAGTTGTCAAATTTGATAATAGTTGTCAATTGCAATATTAAAAATGCCACCCCACTTAACCGAGGCTCAGAGGTCCAGGGCAATAGCCAAATTAGAAGAAAATTGGTCTTTAAGTGAAGTAGCTGCAGATTTAAATGTCAGTAAAAGCTGCATATTTTATATCAAAAAACATTGGCAAGAACAACAAAGATTAAGAAGACCTATCAGGCAAGGTGTAGGAAAAATCTCCAACGAAAATGAAGACAATGCTCTTGTCGCACATATTAGGCAAAATCCTTTCAATAGCGCAGTTAAGGCCCGAGAAGATATACAATTTCCAGGATCTCTTCGAACAGCTCAAAAAAGATTGAAACAAGCTGGTTTAAAAAACTGTGCTGCTGCTCATAAGGTTTTTTTAACTGAAGAAAATAAGCGCAGGAGAGTCCAGTTCGCCAATGACTATTTAAATTATGGAGAAGATTTTTGGAATAATGTTATATTTTCGGATGAAAAAACGTTCCAATCTTGCAATAATGGAAGGCTGCGTGTATATCGTCCAAGAAACGCAAGATTTGAGGAGAACTATACATTAAAAACCTCAAATAGTGGACGCTTTTCCATAAATGTTTGGGCGTGGATAAGCATCCATGGTCCGGGAGTATGTTGGGAAATTGATGGTAGATTAACGGCTGAGCACTATACCAGGATTTTGGACAACGTTATGCTACCTTCAGTTAGACATGTGTTTCCAGAAAACTTTATATTTCAACATGTAAGAAAACTGAATAGTATTCAAAAACGATTCTAATAAATATTATATTACAGGACAATGCACCAGTTCACACAGCTCGCGTGGTTACAGAGTGGGTAAACAACAACCACATAACTGTTTTGCCATGGCCAGCTAGAAGCCCTGACTTAAACCCCATTGAAAACGTGTGGGGTTTTAAAGTTAAAAATATATATCAACGGGACTTTAGGCCAGCAAACCGAGATGAACTATGGAGTGCTGTTGAAAATTCTTGGGATGAGCTTGCTGATCCATACGACATGCGTGAGCTAATAATGTCCATGCCAAGAAGGTTGCAAAGGGTTGTGGCAGCTAATGGCTCTGCAATTAAGTATTAAAATAGCTTAGCAGCACAGTTTTTTAAGCCAGCTTGTTTCAATCTTTTTTGAGCTGTTCGAAGAGATCCTGGAAATTGTGTATCTTCTCGGGCCTTAAATGCGCTATTGAAAGGATTTTGCCTAATAAGTGCGACAAGAGCATTGTCTTCATTTTCGTTGGAGATTTTACCTACACCTTGCCTGATAGGTCTTCTCAATCTTTGTTGTTTTTGCCAACGTTTTTTGATATAAAATATGCAGCTTTTACTGACATTTAAATCTGCCGCTATTTCACTTAAAAACCAATTTTCTTGAGCAATATGTTAATTTAGTTATGTTATTTTTATTGTGTATTTACCTACTTGTTAATTTATATTGTTGTATAAAACCAAATTAAAGTTAATTTATTTGTTATATTGTTTATATTATTGTTTGTTAAAATATTATTAAAAAAATAGAACGATTTAGGATATTGTTCTTATTCTTAGTATTCTCCCTTCTATATGTAACACCACTGGCCGAAGCCAGGAATGAACGAATAAATTTTATGAAAAAAATCCATGACAACAAAAAATCGTTCACATTTCGGAGACGCCAATTGTACGTTAATAAGGCTCTTATCCCACTTATATCGTAAATAACTATTATTGAGAGGAATCCCAATTTAACCCCACTCAGAAAGTTAGACAAGCGATTTCGGAATTGTCCGTCTTGCGACGTATCAATAATACGAGGTGTGTTCAGAAAATTTCGGGAATTTTCGTTTTTTGAAACAAATATTTATTTATTCGTCTACATTAATGTTGTCGCCTTCAAAATAGTCCCCATTGGATATTATGACCATGTGCCAGCTCTTCTTCCAATACTCGAAACACTTCTAAAACTCGATCTTTGGGATAGCCTTTAGAAATTGTTCCAGTGTTGTTTACGACACATACGAGGTGTGTTCAGAAAATAACGGGAATTGTTAAATTTCGCGGATTCAGAGGGTCCGGTTGTCATAAAATTTTCTTTATTATGTTGGTATACATGACCCCGAAGTATGATAAAAACTTTAGCTGTTTTCATTGTTTACTTTGTCTGTGGCAGCCGCTAAGGTTAGACGTGTTTTATGAACTCGGCGATTTTTCGTTCGTTAAAAGAAATGGATCAAAGAATTTGTATCCAATTTTGCTTAAAAAATGAAATAAATTCTGTGAAATGTTAACAAAGGCCTATAGTGAGTCTGCTATAAGTAAAACAATAGTTTACAAGTGGTATAAGATTTTCCAAGATGGCCGTGAAGACGTTGAACGCCCCGAACGCACAAGCGCATTAACAACCGATAAAAACATGAAAAAAGTGGAAGAAATGAAATGTTGGTATATCGATTAGCTCATCCCATGAAATGTTTTCGAATGTTTTGGGTATGAAACGCGTGGCAGTAAAATTTGTTCTAAAATTGTTAAATTTTGAACAAAATTTTTGACCAAAAACAGTACTGTAATGATGCCCCAGCCTCCATATTCGCCAGACATGCCTCTGTCTGACTTTTTTCTATTCCCAAAAATAAAGAGAACCTTAAAGGGCCGTCGTTTTGCAAGCATAGATGACATTAAAAGCGCATCGCTGAAAGAACTAAAGGCTATCCCAAAGATCGAGTTTTAGAAGTGTTTCGAATATTGGAAGAAGAGCTGGCACATGTGCATAATATCCAGTGGGGACTATTTTGAAGGCGACAACATTAATGTAGACGAATAAATAAATATTTCTTTCAAAAAACGAAAATTCCCGATATTTTCTGAACACACCTCGTAATGTCATTATAAACTCTTAAATTTGATGGGGGTCCCATGTCTAATAACTGAGATATGAGTGTCACTTACTAAGACCATCCATCTGCAGTAGTGTTACTTAAACCTGTAAATAATTTTGACATTATATAGACAACAAAAATAATGTAAATTTACTTGGGTTTAAGCCAAATAATATTTTTAAAATTAAAACATAAACAAAATTATTAAATGTTTTTACATGTTAACAAAAACTTTTTGTCGAATGAATAGCTTTTTGATTGTGCTAATGCTTGAAGTCAAGCAACAAGTTTTTTTTTGCTTTATACGTTTACTTAAAATAGTGTGTCTTTCGTACTAAAAATTTATTGCTTTAATATATCGTTTATTTTTACTGGAAACTATTTTTATAGTAAAATAGTTTTTGATATTCAGTATTATAAAGCAAAAATAAATAAGTGGACTGTTAGAAAATTGAAAAGGTTACAAAAATGTTTAGCACATTGTTTTTCGCTCTTCCTACCTAGTAAGAACATATTTTTGCAACACCCACAAGTAGATATTACTAATTTATTTTATTGTTTTTTTATGCAGGTAGTTTAGAAACGATTAACTAATTAAGATGGCAACACAACCGAGATTGGTCAATAAACAGTTCAACTCCCCCATTGGTCTCTACTCAGATCAAAATGTAAGGGAAGTACTAGACAGGGAGACACAGATCCTTTCGAATGGGGCAGTTGGGTAAGTAGAAAACATTGCTAAAAACAAAATTAATTGAGAAAATAATATCGGGACATAATTTTGTAATTTTCACGTTTTCACCTTTGTTAAAATATTTTAAATAGTTTTTCAATGCCATTTATTTATTGTATTCAATTGTAGAACTGACAACTGTCAATCAACTTTAGCCCGTGACTAAAATGCCATAAGTCAAGGTGTTTTGGCTCCCCTGTGTTAAGCAAAAAAATCATTTTGTCGACCAGTTTTATTTTTAATTTAAAGTTTTTAAAACAATACAGAGTATTGAATCATGTTGACATACAAAATATAAATTCAGAGTAAAACTTTTTAGTACAGGTGTAGTTACTTCAAAAGAAACATAAACAGTTAATTATGGAATGAAAACATTTATATTTTGGTAGATAGAGTTAATTATCTCGGTCAGAGAATCGGCAAACAGCTGTAGGCGAAATAGTGGCCACTCACTCAATTTAAAAATATTCGTTTTCTAGACGGTGCATTAGGCAGATGATCGTTTTAGAATTGGCAAAGGAACTTTTTACTTAATCATAAAACTTGCCTGCAACCGTTAAAATATTTTCAGGTACACATAATGATTCATACGTTCCGATGACTAACGATTCCACACTTTTATTTATATTTATTTTTTAAGTGATAAATAAATAATATTTTAATCAGATTTTTTTCTGATTCACTTGACATTAGTAATAATGGTTTAAAATATTTAATTTTTGGTAATAAGTTTAAACAAATTAAAATTAAAAGTTAATTAATTAATAAACTTTTTTTTATTATAATTATTATTATTATGATTGCTCGATTTTTATTTTTTTATTTAAAATTATGATAATTTTTTCTGTATAATTACAAAAAACATATTTGTTTTTAAAGTAAATAGATCTTGGATAAAGAAATAAAAATATATAAATGTATGTTAATTAATTTACTTATTTTTTTATAGAGTGAATTTTTACAATCCAAACGCTGGTAAAGCAGCAAATCTTCAAAACTCAGCAGTCTTAAGAATGTTGGAAGAAGAAGAAAACCGTCAACGAAATGGTCATCATCCGAGTAAGTGAAACAATCTCTAATTTCAAAATTTTGAATTAAAAATGTTGAAGAATTTTATTTGAAAAACTGATTTTTATTTCAAAATTACTCGGGATTCTGCGAAAACGCAGAAAAAAACTATGGAAATGGCTCTAAATGGCCCACTTTTAAAAAACTTGGGTGTGTTTTTAACAATTTTATTTTAATAATAAATAATATAACAAACAAAACTTACATTTTTACACAGTGCACTGTCAAACACATAATTAGGTTAGAAAGTGCCTACAGTAACTGTCACGCACAGATCCTAAAGGTTGTGTCACGCAAGAAGACTTAAGGTAGGAGATAAAACTATTGGATGATCAAAAATACAGATTTTCAAAATTAAAAATTTTTAAATATTTTTTTTGAAGAGCAGGGTAAGGAGAAATTAAAAAGTTAAATGAAGTTTTTTCATATGAGTTATTGATGCTAAGATATTCGATATTGAAAATTTAAGATATTAGTTTTCAAATTTTAACAAGTAATTGTAGACATTGTAGACAAGTCAGTTGAAAACAACATATCACAAAATGAGATAGCAGTCAATTTCTACAAAATAATAGGACCACTCAAGTTAGGACCTAAATTGATTTGTTTTTAATAACAAATATATTAGTAACAACAACTCACATGAAAAAACTTTATTTGGCTTTTTGGTTTCTCCTTACAAGCTCTTCATATTAGACCTTACAAAAATATTTAACAATTTTTGATTTTAAAAAATCTACAATTGTATTTTTTGGCGGACTCTGTATAACCAAATAGAAGTTTCTCATCGTGAATGGTATTTATACAACAAGCAGAAGAAATTATGAGGAGTGACTTTTCTCCGAAAAATTGAAAATAAATATTTTTACAAGTATACTTACAGTTAATTTTTTTTTATCTGGACTCTTGTTTTTTGTTAGGTTGGTGGCTTATGCCAGTTTGAGTATTTAAAAATGGTACTTCTGCTAAAGAATACTTTGACACTGTCAAATTGACAATAATATTTATTATTGATAATTTACTTGTCAATTATAAATAAAAAGATAATTATGCCAAAAATAATAGCAACGAATTCGAATGTAAAAGCCCTTTTGAGGGCAAAACTTCATTTTGATGAAATTATACCAAATGCCAGAATGGAAGAAAAAGTACATCGCCTTATGGAAATTTTGGGAGTAAAAAAGTAACGAATTTGGTTTTATAAATATTACATCACACATTATTTTCACATTATTCACCATTGGACAACATTTACATTCACAAAAAATTTTAATTTCTTTTATATAAATTCTTTTCAAAGCGAAGATTATTATCCGCTAGGAATACTTTCTCTTCTGAGCCGTAAAGCAACCTATATTTAACCACTTTTTTATATGATTTTACTCAACCAAGCACCACCAAAGCCAAATTAATTGCATTTTTACGAATTACGAATTTCGACAACTCAACTTGACAACTGCACAATGTAACCTACAATAATTTATACATAACCACAATTAGATTTATAACTAGCTTAGTTTGTTTTAATCAATGCGACCAATTTGACAACTATTTACCAACCAAAACCCTAAATTTGCAACGTTGCCGCAGTCCAGATAAAAAAAAATAACTTTAAGTGCCAAGAGTTAAAAACTAAAAATATTAATCAATTAGAAACTTTAATTTTTATTTTATTTACCTTTAAAGTACACACGCTAAACCTTAATATCTTAAAACCTAATTGTGAGTTTGACAATTTAATAGTTTTATCTCCTTCCTTAAGTCTTCTTGCGTGACAGCACATTTACAATAGGATCTGTCACATATCTAAAAATGTGGGTGACAGTAGACACTTTCTAACCTAATTAACGTAAGATTCGTTCGTTATATTATTTATTATTAAAATAAAAGTGTTTTAAAAAGTTTTTTAAAAGTGGGCCATTTAGAGCCATTTTCATACTTTTTTACCCAAAATTTAAATTATTGTACCTACAAAGTAGGTACAAACATAAAAACGTTAAAATGACGAATATATTTAATAATATTATGGCCAATTTAGTGAAAACTATAGTGTTTTTATTTGCAATGCCAGTCTGTGCTCGAATTTGGATCCAAGGCCTAAAAAAACTATGTTATAGATAAAATATGCTATATTTAAACTACCTATCATTTTGAAATCTTTGTCGGGCATACAACTTTGGTTTTTAATTAAATTTCATGGTAAGTGTGTCTAAAAATATTTAGTTTTAATTGGCGAAATTGGCAGTCATAATCAAGGAATCCTTGTAACGAAAATAAGTGTTTTCGCGTGGTTTACCGTCATTTTAAAGTTTTGATGAGCAACGAAGCGATGCAAAAATCACAGATAAACGTTCCCAGGTCACGAATACGCGCCGAGATCCTTGCGGGAAAGCTCAGTCTGGCCTCCGAAGGAGTACGAAGTTAAAAACAAAATTCAAGGTGTCTTTAAAGACACCGTCGTTCCAGGTAAACGCTAGTGCGCAAGTCCGCCTCTCACAGCCAGCCAATCGGCGTGCAAACGCGCGAAAAAACACTGCACTGTGCTTCTTTGTTCTTAGTTGTCGTATTGCTATTTATGTGTTCTGTGACAAAATTTTTGACACCTGTTCCACACCGATATACGCGCACAATTACACCTTTATTCGTGGTTAGTGTACCTAAAGTTATTTGGATATTTTTAGTTTTGTACGGTGCATATTTTAAATTACCTCAGTTACGTGTGAGATTTGGCAAAAACTAAGTATCTTGTTGAAAAAAGGAAAAATTGGACACACAATTTTAACTATTTTGTTTAGACTTTTAATATACAAAATTAAACTTTTATTCATATTGTTGTCCAACACAATGATTGTCATGATAATCTCAGAAATTATACTTCTTGAGATAAAGTCATCACAATATTTTACTTGAATATACACCTGCACGTTTAGTGTTACTAAATTTCTGCATGTTCATCATTTATGTAACAAAATTTCATCCCATCAAAGACAATTCACGCGTTTTAACATTTAAAATTGTATTGGTTTAAAAATTTCTTAACTAAAAATTTTAGGTTTACTTTATAAATTTAAAATATTTTTAACTATCATGTACCTACCTATTGAAAGACAAAATTTCTGTATTAAACAATATTTTTTCCAATCAACTTTTAATATACAAATACAAAAATTCTCACATTAAATTTAAATGTTAGTTTTAAATTTTTTAGTGGTAATTTTTGGGTTACCTAGTATGTAGTTTGGCTCACTAAACGCGAAAATCAAATTAAATTTACATAGTAACTGTTGATAAATTTTGATAAATTTTTATTCCAAAAATTACCACTTTAAAATTTAAAACTTACATTTAAATGTAATGTGAGAATTCTTGTAGTAAAAATTTATCGATTCTTATTTAAATGCCTTTGTAGAATAAAATACATTGAAATAAAACTTTTAAAAATCAATATTTTTAAGCTTAAAGTTTTACAGTTAAATTTTATATTAAAAATATTTTTTGTATATCAATTGATTTAAGTTTAAAAAAAATTTTGTATTTTTATTATTATTATTATTATTATCTAATAAATGCTAAAACGGCGTGCCATACATGTCGTTTCAAAAATTTCTTATAAATTATTACAACGTAAGGTGTATTAAAAACTTATTTTAGTATCTTGGTAAACAGCCAACAATAATGATATAATTGTAATGATTTATGTATAACCTTCGTTGTATGTAGGTAATATTTAATGTTTTTAACGTCATTGAGACTTTTTCATAAAGAACCTCCTTTCGTCATTTTCTTCTAGAAACATAACTTATCATGGTGGTCAAAACTAAAGCCAATGCCAACCAAAATCTGATTATAGACTCTTTTGGTAACACAAAAATGTATTTATCAAAATCCCAGCTGATCCTTTATTAAAGTTTTACATATTTCTTAGTATTTTAAAATTGTTTATGCCATTTCGATAAAATCCTCTAGTACCATTATCAAATGTTTTTAAAAATTTGGCAGATACATGACTGAAATATGGATAAATTACATTATAAATACAAAATAATGTTAAATACAGTTTGCAATATCTTATTTATTGTTTTAAGGTACCTAATACAAAACTAACAAATAACTAAAGATTCTTTGAAGCAAAATCGATTACTGCTTGCCTTAAATTTTCAGTAAAACTTTTTCTTGGGTTTTACATGGAATTGTTTTTAACATGGAAACAGTATTTTTAAATTCTTCAGTCTTTGTACAAACATGCTTCTTACATCTAGCGATATCCCCTAGAAAGGAAGAGCATATCAAAACTTTAGTTCGTTCGTCCGTCCTCTTCCCTTAATAATTTTGTATGCCCTTTATATCTTGCCATTTTGCAGATAAAGCACATACATTCTTGGCTACCGCGAAATTCTCTAGCAATTTCTAGATTTTGAAAATTTGGCAATTGTGGCTATGCAAAAATACCGTTTTTACCATATTGAAGTAGGTAATTTTGAATCACTTAATTTATAGTGTTCGTTTGAAAAAGTCTGCAGTAATTTTTATATTTTCTCAGAAACCCCAGAATTTTTCGATTACCAAAAACAATTTTGTCTCGACAGCCAGCACATACCTTCTTTCGATTTTCTTCATGGCTTAACTTGAATTTCGGTTTAATTTTCATTTTAAAATACTATTTTTAACTTTATAAAGTATACATTAAATAAACAACTAAAGCAAAATGTCACTTGCGTTATAACGCAATTTTTTTCATAACCACCTTATTTATTGTTTTGCAAAATTTGCAAGTTGTAATTATTTCATAGACAAACTTCCAGTATTTTTTGTTATAAAAAATATTTAAGATATAAATCTTCGTTTTTTTTGTTATGTTTTGTTTTGAGTGATAAAAAATAATAGGTGACTCAATAAATTAATACTGGGGAGTAAAGTAATTTAAATGATACAAAGTTTATTATTTTGCTTAATTTTATTAAAATTGTACAGGTGGTTTTGGTACAATAATTGCAAAATAATATATAGAAATAGAAAAACAAAAAACTTTAAAATAGGATCAGCTAGGATTTTGATAAATACATGCTAGTGTTACCAAAAGGGTCTATAATCAAATTATGCTATCAGTTTTGGTTGGCATTTTTGGTCGTCCTATACTAAGTTTTGACCACCGTGTTAATTAAACAGTGCATTCTTTATAGAAAAATAACACTTTTTTGTTTAATAAACATATATCAAAAAATGCCCCCTAACGGAGCTACGCCCCCCTAAATAGGAGCTTAAGAGCATCATTTTTTTAAAACTATTCCTAGAGGGTTGAACATGAAGACCTGAATTTTTGGCACTTTGGTAATTTTGACATTCTGAATCTCGATCTATAATCAAAACTGTTAAAATTTAATCATAGGCGTAATATTTGAGGGGGCAAATTTACAAAAACATCCCCAACTTTTTGCAGAGTGAGTATTTTAATGTTTTGTTATAAAATTATGAAAATGTATAGTTTTTCACGAAAAATAGGTACTCTTGCCTTGAATCGCTCAGATGCACCATTTTCAAGAAAATTGCAATTTAAATTACTATGCTTAGCATAATTTCTAATATTTTCATTAAAAAGCTTTGGGACAAAAGTGACGTTTGGGTTATTTGCTGACTTTACATTTATTTTTATAGTTTAGATAATATTTTTTGGCTCGATTTTTGTTATTTTTTATTATGGAGAGATTTTCCAAATTTTAAGACAAAATTTTAACGAAAATATGAGATGTGTATGCTATAGCATATGCATATATGCAGAGTAATTTATAAATGCATTTTTCTCGAAAATGGTGCATCTGAGCGATTCAAATCAGGACTACCTATTTTTCGTAAAAAACTATCGGTTTTCATAATTTCATAAAAAAAAATTAAAATATTATCTCGGAAAAAAGTTGGGGCTATTTTTATAAGTTTTCCACCCCAAATGTTACGCCTATGATTAAATTTTAACAGTTTTGATCTTAGATCTTGATTCAGCATCTAAAAATTACCAAAGTGCCAAAATTTCATTTTTTCATGTTTAACGCTCTAGGAATAGTTAAAAAAAAACTATTCTCTTAGGCTCCTATTCAGGGGGCCGTAGCTCCGTTAGGGGGCATTTTTTGATACATGTTTATTTAACAAAAAAGTGTTTTCTATGAAGAATGCACTGTTTAAGTTTGGCCCTCTAATTTCGGGACACCCTGTATAATAACTTATGTATAATTCTACAGGTGTTAAGAGAGTAGCTTGGCCTCCTCCAGAAGATAGCAGTGAATACACCGAACAGGCTGCCGTACAGACACAGGTAACAAAAATTACCTAACCTCAATGCTTGGTAAATTACTTACTAATAGTGTGCACGTATAGACCTAAATTAGATTATTATTATTATTGAGCTCCTTATTTTTTTTTTGAAACCAAGTATACTTTTTGTTAACGGCCCCTTTGTTTTTGTCAGGGTGGAGCCCAATACCCCACTCAGTCACCTGGCTTGCAGAATAATCACGCATCTAACCAGGCGGCATCCCCCCAGCCGGCATACCGCCCGTTGCACGTTCAAACAGGGGGAGTCTCCCCATCCGTCCAATCTGCCCCTTCCCCCCTACCAAACCTAAGCCCCGCAGGTTTCAGACCCGCAACCCCCTCCAAACAGTGGGCCCCCGTTCAATCTCCCGTCGGAACACCCACCAAATCCCCCCAGTTTCAACCCCAATATCATCCCCCTCAACAACAATACCAACCACCCCAACAACAATATCAACCCCCTCAACAACAATATCAACCCCCTCAACCCCAATATCAACCGCCTCAACAACAATATCAACCCCCTCTACAACAATATCAACCCCATCAACAATATCAACCCCCTCAACAACAATATCAACCCCCTCAACAATATCAACCCCCTCAACAACAATATCAACCTCCTCCACAACAATATCAACCCCCTCAACAACAATATCAACCCCCTCAACAACAATACCAGCCTCCTCAGCAACAATACCAACCCCCCTCTCAACCCCAGCAGCAATACCAACCTCCGACTCAAATTTTTAACCAATCGGCTCCCGTGCAACAGGCCATTCAACCATCTGTTCAGGTACGAATTAGTTACATGGTGTGACTTTGCTTGTAGACTGCTTTCACGCATCCGACCTAATATTTAAAAAAACTGTTTAACAATTTAACCTAAAAAAACGTACAAAATGCACGGTTGGCAAGAATAGAATAGAATAAACGAGTGTTTTTGAGAATAAAGCCGGAAAATGTTAAAAAATATCGAAAAAAAAACCGTGTTGTTGTTAATCCGAATGAAGAAATAAATTGCATACAGTCTCTGTAAATATAAATTGTACCTATTAGATACAATAAATACACATTTTAGTAGTGATTAACGTGTAAACATTTCAATTCAGTAAAAATCGTAAGAAAGTCTCAACTCAACGGTAAAATACCATTATATTATGTATTATATATATATAATATTATGTTGCCATGAATTCGTAGGTATATTTTGTTGTTTAAAATGCAGTTGTCGGCGTTTTTTAGAGAACTCAAACATAAAAATGGTTGATTTTAAGGTTATGTTTGTGCAAAAATTATTTTTACTAATTTCTTAAAAATGTCCAAACTTAAATATAAATTATATTAGGTAAAGTTATCATTAGTTAATTCTGCACCAACAAATATACTTACGGAATTGGACCCTTCGGCAAAACATGAAAATGCAACGATTTAGTTCTTGAATTTTATTTACAATTAAAAACACAATAATTCACCATGATCCCTTTGATAAAATACACACTCTAACGAACTATATAAGCATTTAAGCGTTGAGTTTCTTAATCAATGATATAAGGAATAATCAATCGAAATTTAGTTTTTTCCTTGCAACGTAAAACAAAAATAACGTGCGCGATTTAGCTGTGCAATTGAACAAAATTTGTCGAGTAAGACTTCTGCCTTCCTTCTATTTATTTAAAAATGATGTATAATCTGTCCTTTAAATGTATTATTAACAAATTTTGTTTAAGAAATTCAAAAATGAACTCAAAAGTTAAAATGTTTTAAAAGGAAATTTTTAATTGAGAAAACAAGAATAATACAGGGTGTTATGTAATTAATGTAATATATTAAATACTGAATACCTTTTGACATAAGGTGTAACGGAAAAATATTTAAAAAATATTTTCCCAAAGATAAAGAATACATATGCATTAGAAGTTTTTTATATTTTTTGTGATACGCCACTGGTTATACAATTGTGTTCTGTGAGTACATAGATACCAACCAACAAAGTAGCTGCGCGTTGCCAGTTGTAAAAAATTGTTACTAAAAATTTTTCTTGCAAAAAATAAATAAAAACTCAATAAATACAAAAGTGTTATGCCCTTAAAGCTCTAATACCCTTCTGTATTTATTTACTCATCCAGCTATTAGCTTCAGCAATGATTAGAAAATTAAGTACCTATTTTAAAATCTCCATGACCACGAAATTAATTTTTTCATCGGTTAAACTTTAAACATTCAATTTGTGTAAATAAATCCAAAATCACTTTCCTTAGTTGAGATATTTACAATTTGAGCACATAACCTAAATTTTGAAGGAAATGCACAATGTCATAAAAGTTGCCAGATTTTGTTTCAATTTACCTTCATTACAAAAATGACGTAATAAACAATTAATAAAAACCCCAAATTTGCATTGTTGATTTTGTCATATTTGTGGTTAAGCTAAATTTAACCCTTTAAGGGCCGGTTTTTCAATCGTTGGTTAAGTTTAACTTACGGTTAACTTTCTTAGATACTATTATGTTAACAATAGTATCTAAGGAAATTAACCGTAAGATAAAGTTAACCAACGATTGAAAAACCGGCCCTAAATCTGGCAACTTTTTTTTACAGAATCTGAAAACGCTGGTTAATACCAACCATAACATAATAAATTAAATTAGGCAACCAGATTAAAGTTCCTAGTTTTGGTAATAGGTATCCCTGATAGCACACTTTATTCTAAGAATGTTTTTTAAACCTCCCAGTGAGAATATTCTTAGGATTATGCTATATTTCTTCTAAAGAACATGCTTAAAAGACATATAGCATGATCCTAAGAATATTATTACTGGCCTTTAGGCAGGTTCTTAGAAGGTGCAAAGTTTTAGTGGTAAAAATTAGTCTACTCTAAACATATGCTTAGAATGTTAAGAAAGTAATTGCTATATAAAGTTCATTTAGAAATATTCCTGTCAAGCATATTTAGTTCAGTTACCTATATAATAGTATAATATACCATAAACAACGTATAAAGGTATAACTTCTGGTTTAGAGGTCAAATTGTTTATTTAATATTGTTAAATAAATATATATTAATATGACTACAAATACATTTCACTGTTATATTATGACAGTGATGCGTATTTGTCGTCTCATGAAGAATTTTACGAATGTATAATACAACATATTAGAACGTGGGTATCTGACATATTTGGAAATATTCTCAAAAGCTTCCTAGAAGCTCCATAAGAAACCTTCTAAGAACATTCCAAAAACGTATTCTTAAAATGTTCTTAGGAACATTCTTAGCAATAAGGGAAGGTTCTAAGAATATTCCATTATTCATATTATTTATATCTTCTTAGAAAATTCTTAAAATCAAATTTTGCTATCAGGGATAACGTTTCTTATTAATTATTTTAGTCTGGTGCTTCTTTATGGGCCCATTTTAATATATTACATTAATTACAGAACACCCTCTATATAAATAAATATTCTTGCCAACAAATAATACATAAACTTAAAGAAAAACATAAAATAAAATCTTTCAAAGGATGTCTTCTGCAAGTAATAAGGTTTACATTTTTACTTTCCAAAGGGCTAGCAAATGGGCTATAAAAATCAAAAGAAACTAACAAAATATGTTAAACAGGCACCAGCTCAACAACAGCAGCATCAACAACAATTTCAACAACAGCAGCAGCAGCAACAGCAGCAAAGAGCTGTAGCTCCTACTCCAGCTGCACTTGCCAAGCAAGCTCCTCCACCAACAACAATCCAATTGCGTCCTCAGGCGCCAGTCAGTCAGGCACCGGCCCCCTTGATCACTTCTCAACCAGCCACGGCGACCTTAAAAGGTAGTCTTTTGTTTTTTTATAGTTTACAACGTCACAAATACTTAAGACGAGTTCCATTTAGATTTTGGTCAGTTTTTAGTAAAATTTACTTTTTAGTTGCTAAAAAAATAATCATGATATTTAAACTTCAAAAAAATGCAGGTTTAAAAATTAATTATTAATTTAAATATAAAATAATAAATAGTAAAGTTCATTTAATGACGAACAATTGAATAAAATCTTTTTTGTAAAAATTCATAATTTTTTTTAACACAAATAAAAATTGATAATTAAAAACAATAAAAATATGGAATATTCTAAAATGGAATTCGTCTTGGGACTATTTGCATGGTTTAAATTTATCCCGTCGACATATTTAATTTTTTGTGTCCAATAACTTTTTTAGGGTAAATTACCCTAGGGTGCACTAATTCAAAAAATGACATAATTAGCAAAGTAGCTGCGCGTTGCCAGTTATAAAAAAAATTTACCAAAAATTTTTTTTGCAAGAAAACTCAATAAATACAAAAGTTTTATGCCCTTAAAGCTATATTTATTTACTCATCCAGCTATTAGCTTAAGCAATGATTAGAAAATTTAGTACCTATTTTAAAAACTCCATAACCACAAAATTAATTTTTTCATCGGATTTTTCCTTTCTCTCTACTCATATGAAATTAGGACAAGTTCACAGGTTAAACTTTAAACATTCAATTTGTGCAAATAAATCCAAAAGCACTTCCCTTAGTTAAGATATTTATAATTTGAGCACATAACCTAACATTTGAAAGAATTGCACTAGATTCTGTCATAAAAGTTGCCAGATTTTGTTTGAATTTACCTTCATTACAAAAATGACATAATCAACAATTAAAAAAACTCCAAATTAACAATTTGCATTGTTGATTTTGTCATTTTTGTAATTAAACTAAATTTAAACAAAATTTGGCTTTTTTGACAGAATCTGGTAACGCTGGTTATTACCAACCTAACGTAATAAATTAAATTAGGCAACCAGATTTTTTGGTAGGATAAAGGTTATAAATATATTTTTTTTTGTTTTTTGCATAATTTTCAAGATAAAATTAAATTCGTTTTTCCGCCGATTTTTATTTTTTTTCCTAAAAATTAAACAAGATAGAAAAAAAATGTAGGAGACAAAAAAGTTATATTTGTAACTAAATTAAATTTCATTTCATTTAATTAAGCCATTTTCCTATTACTAAAAACCTGAAAAGTTTTATTAAATTCAGCCAATGAGTTTTACATTTTTTTGAAAAAATAAATATTTTGAATAACCATGTATCTCGAAAACGAAGCTTTTAAAACATCTTTCTTATTATTTTTTTTGAAAAAAACTTTTTTTCCAATATATTGAAAACAAAAACAAGTGCACCCAAATTACCCTAAAAAAGTTGTTGGCCAACATGAAATTTTAATATAATTTTTTTATATAAAATTAAAAGTATGATATTCATATTTTTAAACACTCAGGTTTATATATAACATAGCTTTTTAATGCCGTGCCACTTTAAGCAATTTATACGCATGTACATAATTTACATTTTTTTTATTTTATTCTAATTTTATACTTCCGGTATTTACAACATTTTATGCGAGAAAACAGTGCTTATATCCAGTTAATACGTATTCAAAATTACTAGCTTTACGTTATTTAAAGTATTTGAATTTTCACAGGTAAGTAAATCCTGTGAATATTCGCAGCAATGGCTAACACACAAAATGTAACAAAATAAATAAATAAATAAATAAATACAAAATACAATCCTAAAAATTACACACCAGGACTTTATAAAGTTTAAAAACTTTCTGTAAGCTAAAATAGCACACAATGTGCTATTTTTGGGACACCCTGTATAATTATACTTCTTCAATTTATTTATAATTTCTCAGATTTTTTAAATGTAGAATATTTTAGATTCATATTTTATGTATTAACTGCTTTGGAACAAAAAACTTGAAGTAACACAAAAGAAAATTTAATAAATAAACATAATTAACCCCCTAAAATTGTTACCTATTCCACCCACGCTTTGCTTAGGCTGTATTCATGGCACCCTGTAAAAATACTAATTTTGCAGGTGGCAAATACCTCAGGGGCGACCTGAAATGGCCACCAGAGAATGTAAAGCAAAAAATGGAAGAGGAAAGACTAAATGCAGAAGAACTTAGATTGGGATCCACATATGAACCCAGTACTTATCTTTTTATTTTAATTTTCTTCAACTAACACATAAGCTTTTACTACTAATACAAGTTTATGAGCATGCAACTGTATTTTTGCTTACGCACCAGCTGTAAAAAAAGAAAAATATTTTTTTATATACCTTTGATATCGATTTACAAACAAGGCGAACAAAAATTAATGAATGAATTTTTGGTAATGTTTTTGCATTCGACTAAAAATAGGTAGATTTTGTGTAAAACATTTTATCATATTTGTAACAGATGGCCCTGTAATGAAAAATAAATCAATTTTGTTCGATTTTTCTTTTGTATACGATTCTCCAATAATTTTTGAATAAAATAATTTATTTTATCCACGACTACCTTATAATATATACTTTATATATGAGTTTTCTAAAGCAAAATGATAGTCATATTTCACAGAGTGAATAATAGCAGTGAATAATCATTATTCACTGGTCTAGAGTTCCTATAGGACACACGATATAGATTGTATCTGGCAAGCACTTATAAGTTCGTCTAGGCAATTATAGCCAGGCACTTTAAATATCTAACTTTATACCAATCATAAAAGTCCTGTTAAAGTATTACTTTAATATGTTTTTTTAATGCAATTGAATAAAAATTTAACATTAAGTAGACTATTTCAAGTAAGTAAGCCATTGACATGACATGACAAGCTTAGCATAAATTGCTGTCAATTTGAAACGTCATAACTTCGATTCAGCACACGATTTTTGTTACAAATTATTATTAATCTTAAATTATACATAAAAAATCAAAGCGTGAAAGATAAAAAGATGTTACGCACTCAACAAAACATCACAGAAGTCACTTTTCGAAATACGAATAGAGTAATTGCATCAAAAATGAAAATCCCTAAAAACCTTTTTAATGTAATCTAGAGGTAAAAACACATTGCAAAAATATTTTTTTATATTCCAAAACTTCAACCCGGCCCCAAAATATCAAATTAAAAAAAAGGTACTTTTCAAACGTTCCGAACTCCCGCCAAATTGCATGACGTCATAAGCTCCAACTGTCAGAAATCAAGATGTCAACAAATAATAAACACCGATAAAGTTTATGTTTAACATGGAAAACGCGAAACCAAAAATTGGTTGTAAATATTGTTTTGTGCCTTGTTGTACAAATACAACCTGGAAAACTCCTGGGAAAGTTGTCCCTTCAATTATCAAAAGCAAAGTTTATGACCCTACACTGAGAGTAGTTACGGCTCAGCCGTATTTTCTTGGGTTTATTAATATTTAACATACCTATTCAAACCATATACCTAGTAAACGACATTTTATTTTACTTACATTAAAATGATCCTTAAAATGATCAATAAAATGTTGACTGCGGTGACGATGTTTTGATATCGCGCCGAGCTATTTTAATCCACTTTATCCTTATTTTCCCTTTTGGCACGGTGATAAACCTTTTCCCAGGAGTTTTCCAGGTTGTATTTATACAAGGCACAAAACAATATTCACAATCAATTTTTGGTTTCGCGTTTTCCATGTTAAACTTTATCGGTGTTTATTATTTGTTGACATCTTGATTTCTGACAGTTGGAGCTTATGACGTCATGCAATTTGGCGGGAGTTCGGAACGTTTGAAAAGTACCTTTTTTTCAATTTGATATTTTGGACCCGGGTTGAACTTTTGGAATATAAAAAAATATTTTCGCAATGTGTTTTTACCTCTAGATTACAATAAAAAGGTTTTTAGGGATTTTCATTTTTGATGCAATTTCTCTATTACCTAAAAAATCACATTCATTGGAAATAAAATACTGCATAATCTATAAATAATAGAATTATCAAGTAGGTAGTAAGCCATGTAATCAACTGACAACTAATAATTATTTGAAACGTCAAATTTTAACGACGCGGTGGTGCAATAATAATTCCTGTTAAAATTATAAATTGCTTTCAAAAATACGTTAACAATGGAAATTGATAGTGAAGAAGATATATTGTGTACTCCACCGGAGATAACAGAAGCTGCAAAAGTCACTTCCCTGAATTTGTTGCCTGAGAAATCCCAAAATTTGTACGTATCTGTGTATACAACACCTTTATGGACTGGAGAGCGACCAAGAAAATTAATTCATTCTCAAAGTCTGTTTTACTGGTATATTTTATATATATATATATATATATATTACAATTAATATAAATAAATAGTTTTAAAAATAGTCACAGGCATCTTTAATTTTTGGTTTTGTTAATGTCAAATAGGTTATAATAAATATAAATTTTTTTGCATTAAATTCCGTTAAAAGTCAATAGTAGTCGTGGACAAAGCATAGTATTCTACTCACATATAATGAGCTATTATTCACTCAGGTTAATTATGCCACTCGCTACGCTCGTGACATAAACTTAACCTTCGTGAATAATAGCCCTCATTATATGCTCGTATAATAATATACTATTATTTTTTAAATTATAATTAAAGTAGTTCCTCAAAATGGTGGCGTTCGACTTCAATGCATTTATTAATTCGCATTTCGTTTTAACATTCTGCTAACACTGCTCTGGGATATTCCCAAATCTCTAGATAATTCTCGTGTGCTTGCTTCAGGATTAGCGGCCGTTGCTGCTAATACAATAATTTCATTATTTCCACCTGTGACTGTTGCTCGACGAACTCTTTTTTTCGGATGAACACTACCGTTTGTAGTAAACTGCTTGACTGTAAGGTGAAATGAAGTACGTGATCGAATTTTATCCGGAAAACGCTGAGCGTAGATATTAACAGCATCATCAAGATTCCTGCCTTCTTCACCATAAATCAAAATCATTTCTATTTTTTCTTCCACTGTTAAAAAATCCATTATGAATATCTGCTTAACGTAAGAAGGTATTTTTGTTTACAAACTAATCTTCGAACTAAATTGATTAAATAATGCTAAACTATAAATAGTTTCTTTATACCTCAATAATAATTATTATTTATAACTTAATACCATTTTTTATACCTCAATTAGGGTTAAATGAATTAATTGACAAAATAATGTTTTTTTTCCTTATATGAGGTATTTTTATTAAAAATAGTACAATAATCCTTTAAATTAAAGGATTTAATGCTGGCAGGTAAAAAGTGACCATGGTGCGCAATTGATAATTATCACCGAATGAAATAATGTATAAAACTTAAACCAAAGGAAACTTAAATATTCGTTAAAAAATCGTGGGTACTTAAAAAAATTAATTTAATAAGATAATTATTACCAAAAAAGTGATATTTTTTTAGAAAAATTATTGCAGAATCGTATACAGAAGAAAAATCGAACAAAATTGATTTTTTTCATTACAGCGCCATGTATTGCAAATTTTAAAGTTACCCCCTATAAGGAGGAGAGTATGAGGACCAATTTTAGTACTGATTGATTTCCCCCCTCGAATCATTTAATTTTTATTTTAAACATTTTTTCGTAAAATTCATACTACCTGAGATGTTTCAAAGTTTCAAGTATAAAAATGTTCGATTTTAAGGTTATGTTTGTACAACAATTATTTTTTGTTAGATTTCTAAAAAATGTGAATATGTAAAGTAATCATTAGTTATTTCTGCAAAGCATGAAAATGCAACGATTTGGTTCTTGAATATTATTTACAATTAAAAACCCAATAATTCACCATGATCACAAAACAAAATTTGAGTTGAATATTTCAATTTAGTTTCCAAAAATTACATGATTGACGAATAGACATTTAAAAAAAAAACTAACTTTTTTAAAAGGTCCCAAAAGAAAACTTTTGTATGTTTTGTACCAGTACTTTTACTCAAACTAGAACTTTTATTTACACTAGTAAAGTTTTTTTTTTTTATTTGGACTCGTGTTTTTTTTATTAAGTTGGTAGCTTATGCCAGTTTAATTTACGAGTATTTTTAGTATTTTTAGTATTTAAAAAATGGTACTTCTGCTGAAGACCTTATAATTAAATACTCTGACACTGTCAAATTGACAGTAATATTTATTATTGATAATTTATTTGTTAATTATTATATTATATCGATATAAAAAGATAACTATGCCAAAAATAAAAGTAAAATTTCTTTTAAGGGCAAAACTTCATTTTGCCTTATGGAAATTTTTGGATTAAAAAGTAACGTTTTGGGTTTTACAAATATTAAATCACACATTATTTTTAGATAAGCAAATCAGCAATTTAATATAAAATTAAATTCTCTACAAAAAAGGTCAGATTGAAAATTTTCGTCAGACGAGCCGTTTCCGAGCAAATTTGTTTTTCTTCGATTTTAATCGTGAATAACTTTTGAAGAATTAAATTTAGGCAAAAATGTTAAGAGACCTTTTTTGTAGAACATTAAATTTCCTTTAAGAATCCGACGTGAGCTTTTTTAAATATTCATTGATTCATTAGTTACAAAATTTCAAAGTAAAAAGGGCAAATCGAAAAAACACATCGATTTATTGAGCTCAATTACTCGGAAACGGCTCGTGTGACGAAAATTTTCAATTTGACCTTTTTTGTAGAGAATTTAATTTTATATAAAAATAAGTGAAAAGGAAATTTTTTTCACTTTAATGTTTTGACAGTTCTAACGTAAAACAAATTATGACTAAAAATCAAAAATAGCGATGATAGACCTCTTAAAATTAATATTAAGGGCTCAAATTTTCACGAAATTTTTTTTTGTCATTCTAAATGACATTCAAGATATATTTTCAAAAAAAAAATAGTCAATTTTTCTGGCCCAGTCTAATATACATATAATTACAACTATTAACGCACAGTGGCTTTAAGTCCAATGATTGGACAACATTCACGTGTGTTCACAAAAAATTTTAATTTTTTTTATATGAATTCGTCAAAGCGAAGATTATTATCCGCTAGGAATACTTTGTTTCTCCTGGGCCGTAGTCACCTATATTTAACTACTTTTTTATACAATTTTACTTATCTACGCACCACCAAAGCCAAATTAATAGCGTTTTTAATATTAGTACTTAATGCCGCTATTTTTAAGTCGACTAACACTAAGTGTTATGAAATTGCAGGTGGTAAGCATCTGAGGGGGGACCTGAAATGGCCCCCAGAAGACGTCAAAAAACTGATGGAAGAAGAGAAAAAGCATTTGGAGGAAATCGCTATGGGGCCCGCTTGCAAGCCGCACAAAAACATCAAAGACTACAGCGGTTTCTACGCGCAACACCAGCTTAACGATACCTACCCTAGATACGTGGTACCTCCCGGTACCCAGTACTTCAGGCCCTTGTAAATAAATTACTAATCGAAGATATTTAGTTGTTGCTTTATATACTTAACTTCATTGCTATGAAATTTTCTCGTTTTGTCATTGTCATTGTCATTACGCTAATCGCTGATGACAAAGGCATAATTTTTAGTTTGTAAGGTGCTAAGTTTGTGATAATGCTGAACTGATTTATTGTAGTTCTTCTTGTAAACTAACACGATTTGGAATTATAAAAAGATGTACATAACTTTTTTGTAAGCCAAGGCTTTATTTATTTATTTATTTGTTCAAATAAAAACGACGCATTGCGATGGCCGCTTTTGCAAACTTGTATATCGAATCGAGCTTAATTGCTATATGCAACAATTTATTCTAATTTATATTTATATACAAAATTCCTAATAAATGGGTTGAACACCTAAATAAATCGTATTATTTCCCACATAAAATGTTGTATACCTACATACAGGTTTAAAGTGGCAGGCGTTAACAAAACACGGAAAAATAATTGACAATTTTTTTTTTAACAAATATTAGAAATATTCCCCAACACCAAGTAATAACATAACATAAGTGCAAGTATTTTAAGAAATCATACATTTTGAATATTAGAGCTTCACGGAGGTTAGGATTTCGTATGTTTTTTTAAAACTAGTTGAAATAAGCTTATTTCAAATATACAAAGGGATATCCCTTTGTATATTTGAAATAAGTTATTGTATCTTTTGACACCTTAATATTTTTTAAAAATACAATTATACATACATAAAATATTTATAAAAAAATCTACTTACTGAGATATTACACTTCACGGTGGATAGGTTTTTAAATATCAAATTAATGAACTTAAACTTTTGAATTATAAAACAGCAACACTCTCATCTGCATATAAGTTCTAACTGACCTTCAGGAATCACATGCATCTATAATTTCGTAAACAGAGGTTTTTGCTTATTTAAAATGATTAAAGTGCCATCCGTTGCATAAAATTTAAAGCAAAAAAACAGATTCACGGAGGATAGAATAAATTTTTGTAACACCTACATAAATGGGTATACAAATTATTTCTTTTCATTTTTAATAATATTTTATATTTGATTCGATTGCTTTGGATGTGTTTAAGTGTGTGTTTAGTGAACTGATATTTTTAGTATACTCTTACTACCTCAGATATTTGAAAACATATATGTTAACCTAGAAAGAGTAACAGTCACGGAGGATAGGTTTTAGACTTTTAAAACATTGTAAAAATAATTAATTGCGGTTAGAAATCTGGAACCTGAGCTGTAATATCTACTTAACGATTACAAAACACGTGTGTTACATAACTTTTTAAATTTTACTTCTCTCTGCCAACATAATAATATCGTTAATGATAATGACAATATTCTTGATTTGTGTTTATCTGATCTTAACTGTAGTGTCTCTAGGGAAACTTCATCTATGGTATCTGAGGACAAATATCATCCATCTCTTTCTTTTAGTATTATAACAGATTTTGATAAATTTCAAAATTTTCCTACCAACGCTAATAACAAGAATTATAATTTCAAGGGAGCCAATTTATTTGAACTGTATGAGGCTTTATTAAGTACTGATTGGAATTTCCTTAATTACTATAATAATATTAACTCTGCCTGTGAAGCTTTTTATACTCAACTTTATTCGCTTTTTGATCAATTCGTACCCAAATTTACAAAATGTAAACGTAAATATCCAAAATGGTACACAACCGAAATAATCAGCAACATAAAAATTAAAGAAAGGTGTTACAGGAATTTTAAAAAACATAAAAATGAGGTTTTTTTAAACGAATTAAAACAGGTTAGAAAACTTCTCAAATCTCAAATTTCTAAATCATACCGTCAATATATTCAACATACGGAAGACAACATTATTTTAGAACCCAAAAATTTCTGGTCATTTATGCGCGAAAAACGTGGTAAAACCAGAATACCAGCCAATGTCTTTTTAAACGATATACAATATGAAACTCCTCAAGATGTTGTTAATGGCTTTGCTGATTATTTTGGTAGTGTTTATTCTGTCAGTGATGACAATACTGCTTTGACTCCTGAGTTTACATTTAATTCAGATATAAATATTACTGCATTTTCTGAGGAGCTTATATTACGGAGTATGTCTAAACTAAAAAACAATTATTCATGTGGTGTTGACCTCATCCCAAACTTCTTAATAAAAGATTGCTCGTTAATATTTGCATATCCTCTCTTAATATTGTTCAATATGATATTGTCAACGTCTACTTTTCCAGATTTATGGAAAATAACCAGAGTTTGCCCTATTTTAAAATCAGGTAATCCTAGCGATATTAAAAACTATAGACCTATAGCTATTCTGTCTAATTTTGCGAAAGTCTTTGAATCTTCCCTGTATACCTGCATCTACAATGAGGTAAGTAAACTAATTTCCACGCAGCAGCATGGATTTATGAATAAACGCTCGACTGTATCCAACTTAGCTGAATTCACGCAATTTGTTTCAGAACAACTTGACAAAAAACTTCAAGTAGATGCTGTATACACTGATTTTTCTAAGGCCTTTGACAGGGTCGATCACCAAATTTTGCTTAAGAAGTTACACTTTTTTGGTTTTAGTCACTCCCTCATTAATTTGTTTTATTCATATTTGTGTGAGCGCAAATTATCTGTTTCATATAATGGCTACAACTCCGATTATTTCTATGCGAGCAGTGGAGTACCACAAGGCTCTAACTTGGGTCCGCTTTTGTTCATTTTATTTATTAATGACTTGTCATTACAACTTAATTGTAATCATCTACTGTTTGCTGATGACCTAAAAATATTTACCAGTATTTCCAGTTATACAGATTGCGAACTCTTTCAGGATCAGTTAAGCATTATTTTAAGATGGTGCAAAGTTAACAAACTCGACCTAAACATTTCTAAATGCAAAATCTGTACCTTTAGTCTTAAAAATACGCACTTCATATTTAATTACAATTTAGATAATACTATTCTTCCTCGCTGTCATGAAATTCGTGACCTTGGTGTACTCTTTGATAATAAGCTTTCTTTTACATCCCACATTAATAATACTGTGCAATCTGCTTTAAAGCTCCTGGGTTTTATAAGTCGGAATTCTACCAATTTTTGTAACATCACAGCACTAAAATCAATGTATTTTTATCTTGTTAGAACAAAGCTCGAATATTGCTCACTTATTTGGTACCCGTATTATAACGTACATATTAACTCAATTGAAAAAGTACAAAGAAGATTCCTTAAACTTCTCTCCTACAGAGTTGATCATATTTATCCTGCTAGAGGAACTGACCATAACATCCTCTTAACGCGTTTTAATTTTGATACCCTACATGTTAGACGAATAGTGACAAGTTTAAAATTTCTGTGGAAACTTTTTCATTACCAAATTGATTCTTGTCATTTATTGAGTCTCTTAAATATTTTAGTGCCACGTTTGGAATCTCGTGGAAGTAAAACATTTTATTGTAGTTCCTCAAGAACTAACGTGCTTTTGAAATCTCCTGTTCATGTTATGTGTAGTAATTATAATTGTATAGGTAACCAGTGCGATTTCTTTAATTCAAACATTAAGGAAATTACGTCCAGAGCTCATGATTTTTTTTTTCTCGGTCAAAATAATTTGGAATTTTAATTTTTATTTAATTTATATTATTCATGATATTATTTTTTATTATATGTTTTTTTTAACAAAATATTAAGTTCATTTTATATCTTTTTTCTTTTATAATTTTTTTTTATATAATGTTACATGTTGTGTATACACAACATGTAACATTATATAAAAAAAAATTATAAAAGAAAAAAGATATAAAATGAACTTAATATTTTGTTAAAAAAAACATATAATAAAAAATAATATCATGAATAATATAAATTAAATAAAAATTAAAATTCCAAATTATTTTGACCGAGAAAAAAAAAATCATGAGCTCTGGACGTAATTTCCTTAATGTTTGAATTAAAGAAATCGCACTGGTTACCTATACAATTATAATTACTACACATAACATGAACAGGAGATTTCAAAAGCACGTTAGTTCTTGAGGAACTATAATAAAATTACAGGACAAAGTATACTTTGTCCTGTAATTGGAATATGTATTCTGTTGGGCAATAAATTATTATTATTATTATTATTATTATTAATTATGAAAGATCAAACCACAATAAAAGTGTAGGTCAAACTCATTTAGTTTTATTAAATATCACTGGGTAACACCATCGGTAGTACAAGTTTAAAAGACATTTTATAAGAAAATGATAAATACACCCTGTAGGTAAAAACAATTGTATTTGCTCTAAAGCAAGAACAGACACAGTGTATGAAACTATTTTTTTTATATTTTTGGTTTAAATTGTTTTTATCATTTGTAATATTTCTTTGACAAATAATTAAAAATATGCTCTGAAACAATTTTTTTTTTGAAAATAAAATGCACAGGGTAAAAAAATCTGGACTACAACTGCAACAGTTAAATTTTATAATTTGATTTATTAAAATAACAGTTTTTAAAATTTGTGTACCTATATTTTTCAATATAAACTATTTAAAAAACAAAGTGTATAAGGCATGCCGATTTTTTTTCATTGGGTTTAATTTAACCTTTTAGGATTCTTGCCCCATTTCCAGCAAGGGTGTAGCCAGGATTTTGTTCAGGGGGCAGGCAAGGGTAAACTATATGCATGCCACAAAAAGTTTCGAGACTCCACCTCCCACCCATTTTCTAGCACAATTTTTTTGGACATGCATGAGTATAGCTCCCTCTTTTGATTAAAAAAGTTTATTCTCAAGCCATAATTTATGTATATCAAGCATTAACCAACATATGTTATCCTCTAATTTTTTTATATTCTAGTCACAAATTTTAAATGTCTTTTTTCCCTCTCGATGTCTTCGGCATCACTGCATTTATTTTTCAAAACATTTGCCTAAATGCCTAAAAAGGTGTTATTGGTACTTGTAAAAGAATAGGTAAAAGAGAATTGCCTTTTAGAAACTGGTCTATAACTAAATTATAACTTTTATAAATATAATATAATTAATTAATATTTTACAAGAACAAACACTTCAAAACATACACAATTGGGTTATGTTACATAACCCAATTGTGTATGTTTTATATTGCGGCAATCCTCTTCAAACCAAGTTTTTGTCAATAACTAGGTTTAGTCAGTTATAATAGTATATTATGTATCAAGTTTTATAAATGCCATTTTAGTTACGAGTTTAATTAAGCACGAGCGAAGCTTGCGAGCGAGTGTTTAATAAAAACGAGTGTCTAGAGAAGTTTATAAACGAGTTGCATACTATACTTTATTTACGACGACTACAAAACAGAATTTAAAGCCAATTTTATTTGTTAAAATTTTGACATCTGTCAACTGTCACCCGAATTTAACCTCACTTTTTCCCAATTTAAATTATAATAAATAATAATAATAAAGCTAACTTCAGCCCGTGACGTAAAATGTCGAAAAGCCACTGTAAATAAAACGCCATAAAGTTACAGCTCGTCAATGTAGGAGTAGATAAATGTATTTATGTGTATATTTAATAATACATTTTAAAAATGTATTCCTCTTATAATGTAATAAAGACATATTTAAGTATATGTAAGATAACCTACAAATCTTTAATGTCATTTAAAATTTGCTATGTTGCCAAATTGGTTCAACTTAAATCAGTGGATATGCGTAAATCAGTTGATATAAATAAATCAACGTTTCTGCATAAGGCCCTTTTTGTGTTTGGTTTTTGGAGTTGGGGAATATTTCTTATATTTGTATGAAAAAATGTTAATTTTTCAGGGGACGAAGGTGCCTTAGACAAGACAAAGTGGGTGTTTTTCCCTAACGCCGATGAGGAGAATAAGAGGCGCGTTGCTTTGGCCAAAGGACGTCTTTTGAGACCGCAACGCATCCAACGAGATTATACGAGTTTGTTCGAAAAGAACGAGGTAAAACATGTTATTCCGAAATATCGTCCACCACCCGGTTCGGAAAATGCTGGCGCCACTGAACTATAAAAGAAGTAATGGGTCTAAAAACAATTCGGCCGAAAAATAGAAGGATTTTAATGCTTTAAAAATTTAACATTTGTTTCAGGATTTGTGCTTTCATAACTAATTTTTGTTTTTAGGATTGGTGATTGTCGAGTTTTATTTGAGGCCTGTCAGAGCAAAGTCAACAATCTCCCGTCAGACTAAAACTGAGTAAATTGAGATAATCGATTTTGGTATTTTAAATTCTAGATTTGTAATTTTATTTATATATTATATTGAAATATTGTCGTTGTAAGTCTAGTAGCAAACTACAAGGTCTCTAGGTTGCATAGTATAGGTGAAATCTATAATTATAAATTGGAGATTGCTGACTTTGATATGAATTGCTGGAGATTGCTCATTTTGTTGTAAACGAGATTTAGAAAAATAAACAAAAAAATAATTGTATTTTTTTCCTTTAATGGTTATAAAATTTAACTATACAATCAATGTGGGAAAATTCTGAACTGGACCACATAAATCTGGAGTTTCTTCTAAATCTGGGACCAGGTTGCCTCGTGCAAAAAAGTTTTTATAGTACAACAACTCATCATCTTCTTCCCACTTTGCCCCGTAATGTTTTACTTGCAATGTTTTGATATTATCAGCCTTTTCTTGCTTTACCTTTACCTCTTAAGAGGTAATAATTATTATTAATTATTATGGTATAATAGCACAAAATAAACAAGATAACTTTTTTTATAATTTTTAAAACAATAAAACGTATATATACCTATTTTAAATATATTTTTAAGTGCAATTTACTGCAATAGAACTTAACAGTATGTACCAGTAAAAAAACACAAAATTAAATCTCTAAAATACGTTATAACATCAAATGTTAGGATATCAGGTGACACAAATTACTAATTTCTAATGGTGGAATTGGAGATTGTATACTTTGCTGCAAATCTATCAGTGGAGATTGTCGACTTTGCACTAAATGTCATTTTTAAAATAGGATTTTAGGCAGGATTTAGCTCCTTTTGCAGCACATGAACTTTCTCATCTTATAGATAATTAGTTGAAGTACAGTCTCCGCCAAAAATCTAATTTTTGACCAAAAGTGGAGATTGTCGGTTTTGCTATGGCAGGCCTCATTTGTAGTACTATACTTTTAGTACAATATATTGTGACTGAAAAAAGTAATCGATTTTCTAAAACCCGCGAATGGAGCCCACATTAGGAGTGTTTGTAATTAATGTAATTTATTAAAATACCGAATACCTTTTGACATAAGGTGTAACGGAATAGTTATTTGTTTTACAAGTGTTGAAAAGCGACTTTTTCATGCAAGTGTTTAAGTTGCTCACGAGGCCTTCAGGCCGAGTGTTTATTAACATGAGCTTGAAGAAAGCTTTTCTCACAAGTGAAACACAATGTTTTTTCTACGACCCTTTTATTTTTTATTATATTCAAATACAAAACAAAATAACCTAAAAACGTGTTTGACAGCTGTTAAAATTCTTTTAATTTTTAAGGTATAAGTTACTTAAAATCAATAAACTTACCTTCTCAATTTAAATAAAGGTACTAAAAAGTAGAATTTATTATACAAACACAATTAATTGTGTTCTAAATGATATTTAGACATACATATATAAATACAATACAAATTTTGAAACGAATGTCAATTTCTTTTCACACAGACCTGTCACTTTTCATACAGAAATGTCACTTTACATTCGTGTTTTGCCTTGCCAATGAAAAGATTCATTTTCTTAGCAACGATGCCAATACGAAATGTGACTTTTACATAGTGGTCGTAGAAAAAAATATTTAAAAAAATATTTTCTCTACGACTACTTAAGAATAGTAACATTCTAGTGTAATTTTTGATCATAGAAAGGATGTTTTTCTGCAATACTGTGCGAGAATATTCCTACTCTTGTTTAAGAATGGTCACAAGTAACGACATCTCCTGGCTGTTTACTAAACGTAAAAAATTTAAAAATATTTAAATATTACTGTATTATTTATTAATTAAAAAATAATGGCAGTTGTATAATTAAGGTTTAGGCACAAAAAATTAGTTTTATTTATTGTTTTTCAAATATACAAATTAAAATTATAATAAATTTGATATTAAAATGATAAACCAGTTACCTACTATACCGGCTTTGAAGTTTTGACAGATTCAAAAAGTTTAAAAAAAGACCTTTAATACGTAGAAAAAGAATAGATGTTGACATGTTACAATGTTATTTTTTTTGTTAGTTAGTGTAAATAACTATTTTTAATTATAATAAAGATTTAGGCATACCATTTGTTTAAATTTATTATAATTTACATTATAAAATTGTGACGGCACAAAATGGTTTGACAATACAAAAAATTTAAATGTCAAAAACTGCTTGGTTTCTTTTCTCTGTTTAAAAAGCGTTACTATTCTTACGTAGTCGTAGAGAAAATAATGTCTGAAACACGTTTGGAATAGCATATTCCACTCTCGTAAAACCGTCACACTCGCCTTCGGCTCGTGTGTCAAATTTTTACTCGAGCGGAATATGCTGTATTCCAAACTTGTTACAGAATGTACTATTCCCAAAGATAAAGAAAAAATATTCATTAGAAGTTTTTATATTTTTTGTGATACGCCACTGGATACACACCAACCAACAAAGAAGCTGCGCGTTGCCAGTTGTAAAAAAAATTTATTGCAAAAAATAAATAAAAACTCAATAAATACAAGTTTTATGCCCTTAAAGCTCTAATACCCTTCTGTTAGCTTAAGCAATGATTAGAAAATTAGGTACCTATTTTAAAAACTCCAAAATTAATTTTTTCATCGTTTTTTTTTCTTTCTGTTTACAAGTTTGTAGGTTAAACTTTAAACATTCAATTGTATAAATAAATCCAAAAGCACTTCCCTTAATTAAGATATTTACAATTTGGGCCCATAACCTAAAATTTGAAAGAAATGCACCAGATTATCTCATAAAGTTGCCAGATTTTGTTTGTCATTACAAAAATGACATAATCAACAATTAATAAAACGACAAATTAACAATTTGCATTGTTGATTTTGCCATTTTTGTAATTAAGCAAAATTTTAACAAAATCTGGCAACTTTTTTTGACAGAATCTGGAAACGCTGGTTGTTACCAACCACATCATAATAAATTAAATTAGGCAACCAGATTAGCCAAAAGTTCCTAGTCGATCATTGGCATACTTTTTGGTAGGATAAGGGTTATTATAAATTTTTGCTTTTGAATTTGTACTCCTTGTGTAGGCTCCATGGATACGTCACTGGTAAAAACCATAAAACGGTTAATTTTTTTCGGCCGCAATAGTACATGTATGTAAAATATTAATGTTCAAAAATAAATAAATATATTAATACTTAACAATTTATTTTTAATAAGTGCCAAAAAATAACAATCTGGTATTTACATTTACATATTGTACAAAGAACATTTAACATTTTTTTTTAATATATGACATTTTTTGCAGACAATTTCTCTAATAATTGACAACAATTAATAATTAAATAAATCAACATAATATTTTGCGGTATTAAATTATTTATACCGTGCAATTCACTCTACTTTTTAAATTTTATATTGTTAATAAATGTTTTAAAAATGAGTGAAACTATCCCTGATCCTGTATTAGAGTTGGTATAAATAATTCCATCTCCCAATAATATTAAACCCAAAAATACACAGTGACTTCTCAGTAAAGTATATTAAAATATGCTATGTGATTGTTTTTAACATCTTTTAAATAAGATCTGCAAGAATGCGTATGTAAATAATAAATGGTTAAACCAAAGAAAAACCTTCAGTCTGTTGAATGGCCTGCATGAGTTTGTATTTCAAACGTTCTTTGGTATTGTATTTGGGCAAATCGAGAAGATTGAAACACGTGTGAGCCACCGGCAAGAATTTTTCGTCGTTTGTTGGCTGAATAATAATCTAAAATAACTTTAATCAGAAACTTTTTTCAGAATTTTTTCAAATTTTTTTACCCAACCAAAAAAAAGTTATAAATTGTCATTTATTTTTGTTTTACTAAAAACTGACATTTTCTGCAAATTCTCTGAAATTTTTAGTGGCAATAGAAAAAAATAGAATACGAAAAAACGCCACTGGAAATTTCAGAGAATTTGCAGAAAATGTCAATGTTTTTAAAAGCCTGTTGTTTGTCAAAAAATAAACCATATAATTAATAATTAATTGTACTTTTAAAAAAATAATCATATATTATATCACGAGAACTATGAATTTAATCGGTTAAACTAGGCTCAGTAGTTTTTTGTTTGGTTTTTCTTGGAAAATGTTGAATGCAAAATAATTTAATAAAATCACGAGACCGCGTAGCGGTCGAGGGGTTTTATTTTTAATTATTTTGCATGAAACTATTTTCCAAAAAGAAAAATCAAATAAAAAACTTACTGAGCATAGTTTGACAGATTAAATTTATAGGTTGAGTGATATACGTCTAGATTATTTCTTGAATTAAAGGAAACTATTTGACAATTCATAAAATCTGACGTATGTGTCAAAACTTATAAATATTTTTTTAAAGAAAATTCCATTAATTTAAGGTATGTAATAAGTAATAATTTATATTTCGTTAACTAGATAACTTATTTTTTATTGTTTTTTTTTAATGTTTGTTATAGTGGTATTAATATCTCATGGCGGGTGACCTTGGGCGCGCAAACGTCACAAATCCGTCAAATCGCGCTATTACTCGCCGTCCTAAAAACATACTACCCCAGGGTTGGCAATGCTAGCATCAGCTGATATTTATTGACATTTAAACATATTTATAGGATAGAAATTCTATTATATTTGTTATATCATATTTGTCATATCATATTTTTTATAACTAATATTATATTTGTTCTATTATTATATTTGTTATATTTGTTCTATTATTATATTTGTTATACGAAATGAATAACGGAAAAAAAGAAGTCATTCACATCCAAGGGCGGCAGATCGTCTACAACGTTCTCCAATATTTGAAACGCGAGTTGAAACGTGAAGTCCAATTTTCTTGAAAGAAAGAATAAAAAAAATTATAGAAGAAAAATGTTGCATATTTTTAAAATATGTAAGCCTTTTGTCTGAAATAAAGCACATTTAGAAGTTTTAGAACTTATACATAATATGATATATACTTGTATTAGCAGTAAATCAACATATTTTGCCATACACAAGAAAAATATGAAATAAAAACCTTTAGGTACATTTTTACAGCAAAATTCGGATTCTACACAGATTCTATTCTTTTTTTTTACTGAAATCCATTATATAATTTACAGATCATTGCTCAACATTTGAAGACCTTGCTGCAAAATGGGGGTAACTTTTACAAAAGTGACTTTTACACCCTTACAACTGTGAACTAGACTATTCTGCATTGTTTAATGCAAATATGACTCAAAAATAACTTTTATGGAGTTAGCTCCTTTTTGCAGCGTGGTCTTCAATTGCAGTCATTATCTAATGTTACAATATATTTCATAAAATAAAGAAAAAAACGCTTTACTATATTAGTTGACAGATGACAGATTTGGGAAGCATCCATAGACATTTAAGTTAACTTAAAGGTCTATGGAAGTGGCGGATGTTTTTAGTTTCCATTTATTTATTAAATTGAATGGCGTCTGTCAGCGTCTCTCAAGGTCACCCGCCATGAGATATTAATACCACTATAAAACTTGTAAATAACACCATAAAATCGTAAACAAAAATCCAATATGGAGGCTAAAATTTAATCGCTGTTAAAAAGGTCTAGTGATTTAATCGCTTATTTAAACGAAATTTATTCGAAAATTCAAGGCTTTTGATTGGTTCATATTATAATGAGGGAAATAATCAGAACTATCTTAAATTTTTTTCTAACTTTTTCGAAAAACATTGAATTTTACAATGATTACACTTTCAATTTCATTTATTATTATTTTTTAAATTTTAAGGGTCTCTCTACATCCCCAAAAATCCTCAAATTGGCATTATGAAAAATAACATGAGTTATTTTTTGTTAATTGAAAAATAAAAAGGAAACGAAAAAATGCCACTGGAAATTTCGGAGAATTTTCAGAAAATGTCAATGTTTTTAAAATCCTGTTGTTTGTCCAGAAATAAACCAAATGACATTTTTTTTAAATTTTTTGTTTTTAATTGTACCTACTTTTAAAAAAATAATCAGAACTTTCTTAAATTTTTTTCTAACTTTTTCGAAAAACATTGAATTTTACAATTATTACACTTTCAATTTAATTTATTATTATTTTTTCAAACTTTGAGGTTCTCTCTACAACCCCAAAAATTCCCAGATTGGCATTATGAAAAATAACATGAGTTATTTTTGTTAATTGAAAAATAAAAAGGAAACGAAAAAACGCCACTGGAAATTTCGGAGAATTTTCAAAAAATAAACCAAATAACAATTTTTTTTAATTTTTTTGTTTTTAATTGTACTTTTAAAAAAATAATCAGAACAATCTTAAATTTTTTTCTAACTTTTTCGAAAAACATTGAATTTTACAATGGTTACACTTTCAATTTCATTAACTCTTATTATTATTTTTTCAAACTTTGAGGTTCTCTCTACATCCCCAAAAATCCTCAGATTGGCATTATGAAAAATAAGATGAGTTATTTTTTTTTTAATTAAAAAAGGAAAACGAAAAAACGCCACTGGAAATTTTGGAGAATTTTCAAAAATTGTCAATGTTTTTAAAAGCCTGTTGTTTGTCCAGAAATAAACCAAATAACAATTTTTTTAAATTTTTTTTGTTTTAAAATGTAATTTTAAAAAACTATCTTATATTTTTTTTTTAACTTTTTCGAAAAACATTGAATTTTACAATGATTAAACTTTCAATTTCATTTATTATTATTTTTTCAAACTTTGAGGTTCTCTCTACTTCCTCAAAAATCCTTAGAGTGGGATTATGAAAAATAAGCTGAGTTATTTTTTTTTTTTAATTGAAACCAAATAATTTTTTTTTATCATTATTTTTTAAATGTACTTTTGCAAAAAACAACATTAAAAATGGTATTGTCAAGAAATTACAAAAAAATCATAACTTTTTCAATTGGGTAAAAAAAATTGAAAAAATTCAGAAAAATGTCAAAAGGTCAAAAGTAGTAAATTTGGTATGGAAACCCCATATATGTATACTTTAATAAAATGCTAATTTAACTTACCTTAATAGCTTTCATGCCTTGTATAGGTATCCGGTCACTGCCTGTTAAATAAAGTAGGAATTTCTTTTTGTCTGGCAGAGACATATCGTGTATCACCTCCCAAAACCAACGTATTGTCTGATCAGACGAAGTGTAGCCATTTTTATATTCCGCCACTTCTTCCAGGGCATGCCAATCGTAATTTTCGTTTCCAACCACCACAGCCATCAGCTCTTGGGAGTGGAAAAGTTGCAAAACGCGCCCCCCGCAAACCTAAAAGTTTTAATTATTTAAATTTATCTCCACAGGTTTGTTTGTTCCATTAAAATCGCTCTTGAGTCATTCCAAATAAAAACACCAAATGGGGTGCGCTGCTTGATTTTTTATTTTGATAAAAAAAATTGAGGATGATCTTTTAGGTATCAAATATGAAAATCCGTTGCCGTATTAATTTTTGGATTCTTTACTTTTAATCGGCACCCTTTAGAAATCTGAAATCGTGACAATTTCTTACTCTCTTATAGTGGGCCAGAACTTTTTTCTGTGACAAATACTGAAATGATTTTAATTTTGTTTTACTGTTCAGTAAGTGTGTTTTCGATATAAATTATTATAATCCAATTAGTTAATCTCATAAAAGAATGGTAAACCACTAAAGATTCATGATAATTTGCCAATTTTTGTGATTTTTGTCTGGCTCCTGTGCCTATTCTGCTAAATCTAGACAGTTGCTTTTTTCAGGTATTAAGTACTTATACAATAGAAAACGTAACTATTATTTTCAGTTTCTAGACTATCATTTTCTTTATTAAAAAAATCATTGAAACTTGATAATTCTTAAAATTAGTCAATTTTGCCCTCAAAAATCATTATGTCGAGGAAAAAATAAAAATCTGAAACTTTCAGGAAATGTAGTCCCCACCTTCATCTTTTTAGTCCAGTTAGTCTTGTTTTGTTATTTTTATTCCTTTAAAAGTTATTTTAATTTTTTTTAATGCCCGTTTAAGTTATAATATTGTTAGTTTTATTTATAATTTAAAATTTAGATGGCTTTCATGTTTGGTGGAGAAGTGTCAGAACTGTCAAAAATATTTCATAAATATTATTTGTGCGTATTTCTTTGGTAAATTTTGTATATAACATAAAATGTCACATTATGTTATATACAAAACTTTTTAAAATCACCAAAGGAATACCACAAATAATAATTATGAAATATTTTTGACATTTCTCATATATTTGGTAGTTATGTTATATTTTATGTATATATTAAATACATTCGTATAATGAAGTATTTAATTGGCTAATTGGTGTTTAAAGAAGAAGAATGAAAAAAATATATTCAAGATCCTTATGGTTTACATCGTAAAGTATAATAAGTGAAATTAATAAAAAGTTAATTTAAATGTATAAAAAATTCGTTAAGCAGTTTTTTGTCGGTTTCTTTCACAATTTAAACCAAGTTAGTCTTGTTCTATTATTTTGATCCCTTTAGTAAGGCACTGAATAGTTAAAAGTTATATGTATGTTAGTGTTTGAAAAAAATTTACACAATCTGTAAATACTTCTTTAAATTTCAGTTTTTAGGTAACTGGTTAAAATAAAACATGTTATAATAAAGGGGTTTATTTAGAATATTTTTTGGACCTAATTTTGTTTTATATTCTTGTTAATTAGGTCATAACTAAAATTTTAAGAGCAAAATAAAAAAAATTTGACGGTTAATTTTGTTTTAATTGGATGTTTATTAAAAATTTGTATGCACACTTTCAATTCTCCAATTAAAACTTGCGATTTTATTTAAATATTATCATAACTTTTTAAATCAGATTAAAGATTAGTTAATTTCCTAAAAAAAGGTCTATACATTTTTTATATCTTTTACTGTTTTGTTGTAATACACGTTTAAAATTTTAATTTAATGTTAAATGTAGTATACATTTATTAAACAATAATTCTAAGGGTGCAACATTTTATTTAGGGCCGATTTATTCATTTTTGATTTATTTGAATAATTTCTTTGGATACTAGATATTGCCAAGATATGAAAGTTATCGGCCCGATAAACTTTACTAAAGATGAATAAACCGGTCCATGAATTTCTTCGTAACTTTTACTACAATTTTTCATTTTTGTTTATAAAAAACACTTTAAAAAACTAAACAAAAATTATAGAATACGTATACTGAAAATGACAATTCAAACATCAAATAAATTTTTAATAGATCTAAGTTTCATGGCAACCTTTAAGGATATTAATTAAGGGAACATAAATGTATACGTCAAAGGTTAGATTAAAAGTTTGAACGTTTATTGCAACAAAACAGTAAAATATATAAAAAAAATTGTAAAAAACCTTTTTTTAGTTATGCAAATATTAAATATTTAAATTAAATCGCTAGTGTTAATTGGATAATTGAAAGAGTGCATAATATTTTTAATAAACAGCCAATTAAAACAATTCAAACCGTCAAATTTTTTTTATTTTGCTCTTAAAATTTTAGTTATGACCTAATTAACAAGAATATAAAAAAATTAGGTTTCACAGAAAGTCCAAAAATCACCTCTCAGAACAGCACCGTATATTACTACATCTTACCTATATAACATATGTTATTATATAGGTAATTATGCAATAAACTTGGCTTATAACAACAGCAAAAATGTTAATAAATACTTTTCTATGTGTTTTATTTTACGATAACCAAATACAACCTCTATGAATTATTTCGGATATTTATTTTTATCTCCGTAGGTACCTACCATTTCTCTACTAAAAGTCTTAAAAAGTCTTATTAACTCTTCCAGAAGACTCCCAAATCTTGCTATTAGTCTGACTTAATAAGACTTATTCAGACTTTTTCCGAATCAATAAGTCTTATTCTGACTTTTTCCGACTTAATAAGTATTATTCAGACTTTTTCAGAGGAAGTAAGACTTTCTCAGAGAAAAATTTCCACAAGGGTTGACTCTCTTACCTTCATAAAGCCTTCATGAAACGCCTTGTAAGGCTCCTTTACGCTCTCGTTGAAAATAAAGTCCACATACAGATCCACGTACTCTTTTTTGTTGTCCAAGGTTACAGGGATATTCGCTCCGTTAGGTTTGAGCGGGATGGTAACCGTTTCGCCGAAAATTTCCCGACCGATCTCGAACGTCAAATCGAACACTTCGGCAAAGTCCGGCTTGTCGTACTCGAGCAGCTGATTGAGCGAGTCGGCCATGGTGGGAGATAAGCCCTTCAAATCGGCCAATCCGATCGGTTCTTCGAGCAGTTTTTTGTAGAGGGCCAGCGGGAACGGAATGTCGATGATGATGAAGTTGTAGATGGCCAGACCGCATATCATTCCTTAAAATGAATTGAAAGATTCTGCGAAGATTCATTTAACCAAAACTAAGTTTTGGAAGAATGATACGTTTACCTTTTGAGTAAGTACAAATAGAAAACATTAAAAAATAAGAATTTTCAAATTATCTACATAGAACTTTTACGAAAAAAATCTATGTATAAATGACAAAGGTATAACAGTTTATGTACAAGTAGCAGAGGAAATCCTGGTTTGAGTTTTTACCGGTTTTCCAATAGCAGTCATACAATTTTTGTTCTTTTACCTTAAATTTTAATGTTGGCAGTTTAATAGTTTTATATTTTTGATCGTTTAGTGTTATTTTTTCGGTTACATAACATAAGACGGGAACCTCTTAATGTTTGACTTATTGTGTTATCTGATACAATACATAAAAGAAAACATTTTTATCAACCTAAGAAATTGACATATACGCATCTGGTTTTCGCAACGCCATCTGGTGGTGTTCGATAGCAATATTGGACTATACAATGTTTGTAAACAATACATTTAAAGCATACGAACTGCACATCATTTTTAAATAAATAAATATTTTTTCACAAAAGAAATGAAGGCAGAAGTCTTACTCGTCAAATAAAAACTGCAAAACTTTGGTTAAGTACTAGATTTCGATTTATTATTCCTTATATCATTTTTAAGAAATCTAACAAAAAATAATTCTTGTACAAACATAACCTTTAAATCAAACATTTTTATATTTGAGTCCTTTAAAAAACGCCGATTGATTTTTATTGAATTGAAATGTTTACAATTTTTCAAATCAAATCAAAATTTGAACAAAACAAACGTCGGTTATTAATATATTAACGAAAAAAAACTTTTTTAAAAGTAAAAAAATAAACAAAAAGTTGAATATTGCTACTTGTACACAAACGGTCATAACTCACGGTGTCCCTGAACGAAGTTCAAGTCACATAAAAATGACGCAAAAAACTGATTGCAGTTTCTTGTTCGGGACCCTTTAGTGAATTAAAAATGATATTTACCAAAATCCTATCTGATCCTTTTTTCGCAATTTTTTCAAAATTTATGATTTTTTTTTTTAATTTTTTTTATTTCAAAGTCTACCTTTCAAAGAGTACACATTTGTACACCGATTTTTATAAAATTAGAGTATATTATTGAGGAGACTTAAAGAATACTTTTTAATAATGTTCACATCATTTGATATATACAGGGTGGACCAAAAATCGCTTAATTTTAATAAAGCAAAAGCGTAAATTCATGATTTTGGCATAACAAGCAAAACAGATGTATCCCCATTTTTTTTTTAGATTTTATGTTTATTAGGTTACAAAATGGCATTCTTATTAACCTTTTATTAAAAAAATAGATTTTTAATAAAATTAAATAAAATAACGCTTAGAGAATATTTAAAATGTTGTTTAATTTAGGCTTTTTAGAAGTTTTCAATTTTGAATGAAAAACTGGTTAAAGTTTTTTGATCGGCACTCTTTGGAGATTTAAAAACGGTATTTACCAAAATTCTAACTGCTTTTCTTTAAATTTGTTAAAAAAACATTTTTTTTTAATTATTTGTTTATAGCAAAGTTTACCTTTGCCAGAGTACAGATTTGTACACCGATTTTTATTGATTGCAGTTTCTTGTTCGGGACCCTTTGGTAACTTTAAAATGATATTTAACAAAATCCTAGCTGCTCCTCTTTTCGAATTTTTTTGAAAATTCTTAATTTTTTTTTTAAATTTTTGTTTATCTTACCTTTGACAGAGTACACTTTGTACACCAATTTTTATAATATTGGAGTATATTGTTAACGAGACTTGGAGAATACTGTTTTCATACTGAGCACATCATTAGATTTATACAGGATTAGCCAAAAATCACGTTTTTATATAGTAAAAAGCATAATGCACAAAACAGATTTATCTCCAAAAAAATTTATTTTATTTAATTTTATTCAAAATCAATTTTTCTTATAAAGTCTTGATAAGAATCCCATTTTTTAGCCTGATAAACATAAAAATATCTAAAAAAACATGGGACCAGGTTGCCTCGTGCAAAAAAGTTTTTATAGTACAACAACTCATCATCTTCTTCCCACTTTGCCCCGTAATGTTTTACTTGCAATGTTTTAACATTATCAGCCTTTTCTTGCTTTACCTTTACAAGATAACTTTTTTATAATTCTTAAAACAATAAAACGTATATATACCTATTTTAAATATATTTTTAAGTGCAATAGAACTTAACAGTATGTACCAGTAAAAAAACACAAAATTAAATCTATAAAATAAGTTATAACATCAAATGTTAGGATATCAGGTGACACAAATTACTAATTTCTAATGGTGGAATTGGAGATTGTATACTTTGCTGCAAATCTATCAGTGGAGATTGTCGACTTTGCACTAAATGTCATTTTTTAAATAGGATTTTGGGCAGGATTTAGCTCCTTTTGCAGCACATAAACTTTATCATCTTATAGATAATTAGTTGTACAGTCTCCGCCAAAAATCTAATTTTTGACCAAAAGTGGTGATTGTCTTTTTTGATATGATAGGCCTCAGTTCTCTTTTAATTTTTTTTTCATAGTTGCATTAATTTTATATACCAGATTTTAAAGAATAGTTTGACGAAGTTTCCCAAAAATATTGTCAGATATTTCCTATATAAAAAATGAAATGCTAAGCTTTGTAGCTAGAGCTAGATTTAAAAAACGGTTTTTTTCGTTTCATTTTCATTTCATTTTTTTCAAATCCGCTACAATAAAGCATATTCTGTCAATATATAACATTATTAGTATTTTTCAATATGAAATGTATATTAATATTAAAGTAAAATTTAGAATATGTTACATCTATTATTGAAAATTTTGACAGAGACTAAAAATTTTTATTTCTTATTAAAAATTTAAAACTTCCAACAAAAAAACAAAAAAAACGGATCGTTTTTTTTAAGTCACATCTGTAATTGTAGCAAATTTTATTTTAAAACCCAAAATTAAAGTAAACGCGTTCTTACCGATCAGAAAAAAAACTCCGGCGTCCTCGAAAGAGTTCTCCGAAAACCAGATCGCCCTCGTCTCCGCGTACTCCTTGAACATGCCGTACTTCGGGTCCAAAATGTCGCGCAGCAGCAGCATGAAGAACTCCTTCTTGACGCCGCCCGCGTCCTCCGCCTCCTCGCCGTGAAACTTGACCTTCAGCGGCTTCTTGAAGTCGCCCGGTTCGACGCCGCGCAGCTCGTTGAGCGCGTCGCGCACTATGTGCTCCCTGCTCACGTTCAGCACGAGGAACTGCGTGATCGAGTGCACGGCCGCCGGCGAGAACAGCATGGCGAGCACGGCCTGCTGCGCGGCGTTCTCCATCGCGCGGTGCATCTGGATGGACTGGTCGGTCTCGAGGAGCAGGGTCTTGGCCTGCGCGTCGAACAGGAACGGGTAGTTGCACAGGTACAGCTTCCCTGTCTGGGGATTCGATAATCGATAAGTCTACTTTACCCTGGTGGAAATAATTCTACAACATTCTACAACATTTAACGCGAAAGCTACAACTTTCTACGCGACTTTGCTACAACATTTAATGATTTTCTACAACTTTCTACAAGACACTACTACTATATTTTAAATAACGTAGAAAATTGTTCAAAGTTGTAGCTTTTGCTACAATTTTCTACAAGATATTACGCGGATTGGGACATTATTGTTATATTTCGTAGAAAGTTGTAGCTTACTAATATCATAGTATGCTACAACTTTGAACAATTTTCTACAAGATATTACGCGGATTGGGACATTATTGTTATATTTTGTAGAAAATTGTTAAAAGTTGTAGCATAGTAATATATTAGTAAGCTACAACTTTGAACAATTTTCTACAAGATTTTACGCGGATTGGGACATTATTGTTATATTTCGTAGAAAATTGTTCAAAGTTGTAGTTTACTAATATATTACTATGCTACAACTTTTAACAATTTTCTACGAAATATAACAATAATCTCCCAATCCGCGTAATATCTTGTAGAAAATTTTAGACGTACGAAATTTGTTTAAATTGTTTTTTTAAAAATTGTTGCTTGTGCAATTTAAAACTATTATTTTATATTATTTTAACTTTGCTAAATCTAAGTGTTTATAATTTATTTTTTTAAAAGAAAAGATAAAATTAAAAATACTTACTTTGTAGCGCAACATTTGCTTTTTTGGTGGGTGATACTTCTTATAATTAATGATTTATAAGAAAACATTATTAACTTTAATAGCAATCTATTGTAGTCGCTGATGTCGTCTACATTGACTACAATATTGTTTTTTGTATATTATATTATATTATTATATTGTACATATTATGTTATATTAAATTTACCATCGATAATTTTTTAAGTCCCTTTATTACCTCACTATGTGAATCAAATTTTGCAGCAATGACTAAAGGAGGTGGTTTGATTTTCTTTGGGTTTTGGCCGGGCTGAGTCTGGAATGTTAGGAATTACATTTCTTCCAGATTGGCTGGTTCCTGACTATCATTACTTTCCATGGGTTGGGCTTCTGGTTGATCATTAAATTTTGGAATTACATTTTCAATTGTTAAACCTTCATTTTTATTACTTATAACTAGTTCAGGTTTCTTAATATTGCCTTTATTCACTCTCTTAAAAGGAATTGTTTTATTTGTGATTTGGAAATTTTGTTAATTATTTTCTGGATTGTTTTTATCATTAGCGGTGTTTCCATTTAAAGAAGTTATACTATTGCTTGCAGACAGGCCTTCGTCTGCCTTTCTTTTTATATTTTTATCATTTAATTCTATTGGTGTTGTCATATTAGTATCGGATTGGTCAGTTAGCTCTTCGAAATCGTCTGAATTTATTATTGAATTTTTAAATAAACGTAATTTCTCGAACTTATTATCTTTTCTAGCTTGAATTCTCTGCTTATGCTTCAGGCCCTGTTCAATCGTTTTTCTGTATATTTTCTTGTTTTTATCTTTTTTTATTAATTTGGGAAATTAATCAACTGACAATGGAAACTTCTGTCAGCTGGCAACACTGACTTTTCTGGTTTTTCTGCTTTGTTGCACTTTTTTAGCTAATTTAATGATATTTTGTGCTAACCTTATATGTTACAGGCTTCTTGCTTCAATATCAATATATTATCGTCTATTTATCAATATAATTCTCTATAATTCTTTATTTATCGCAACAGGACAAAATATTCTGACGCCTTTCAACTTCAGAAAGTAAAAAATGATGTACCTATATAGACCAGTGCAGAAGCCTTTAAAAATGGTAAAAAGAGAAAAAAATTACAGTAGGATGAAACCCATTGGAAAAGGAGGGGAATATAATAAAAATTAAAATAAAAATAAATTACGGGCGATCTGAGTTCGGGAAGTGGGAGGGGGGGGGGTTTAAGGGTAAAAAATGGTTTATCTCGATTTCCGGCAAAACTACAAGTCCTATGGAAAAAAGTTAAATGTCAAAGTTGTAGGTAATAAAAAGATCTACAACTTTTGTATTTACAATTTTTTCACATAACCTCAAAATTTATGTGAAAAATTCAAAAAACCAAGTTTTTGGTTTTTTATTTTTATCTTTTTCAAAAAAAAAATTTTTTCCACGAAATTTGGTAAAAACTTACCTTTTTATGTCCCAAATACACTGTAATTTATTTGATTTGAAATATTTATTATTTCGCCTTATTTTGACTTAATATCAAAAAAGCACCCTAATTTTCAATCGAAAATTCTCGCGTCAAAATATCAGCTTTTTTCAAAAAGTCGGTGTGCTTTTTGTTCGATGAACTCTCTACTTTCTGATGGTGTAAAAAAAAATATACATTACTATGGTAAATGTTCCCAGAAAATACAAATAATATTATAATGAATAACGTAATCAGAATGAAGTATCTAAATTCAATAGTATGATTTACATGTATTTTTATATTTTGTGAGATTTTCTGACATAAATGTTATTAGAATTTAATAAGTAAACTTTTTAACTAAAAAAAATTGCAACAATCCCATTTTTTTGATGAAATTGTACATAATGATTAAAATAAATTTACGAATTCGAGTTTTTTTCGTTATTCATTATAATATTTTTTGCATTTTCTGAGAACATTTACCATAGTAATGTATATTTTTTTTACACCATCAGAAAGTAGAGATTTCAACGAACAAAAAGCACACCGACTTTTTAAAAAAAGCTGATATTTTGACGCGAGAATTTTCGATTGAAAATTAGGGTGCTTTTTTGATATTAAGTCAAAATAAGGCGAAATAATAAATATTTCAAATCAAATAAATTACAGTGTATTTGGGACATAAAAAGGTAAGTTTTCACCAAATTTCGTGGAAAAAAATTTTTTTTTGAAAAAGATAAAAATAAAAAACCAAAAACTTGGTTTTTTGAATTTTTACATAAATTTTGAGGTTATGTAAAAAAATTGTAATTACAAAAGTTGTAGATCCTTTTATTACCTACAACTTTGCCATTTAACTTTTTTCCATAGGACTTGTAGTTTTGCCGGAAATCGAGATAAACCATTTTTTACCCTTAAAACCCCCCCCTCCCACTTCCCGAAGTCAGATTGCCCGTAATTTATTTTTCCTTTCATTTTTATTATATTCTTCTCCTTTTCCAATGGGTTTCATCCTACTGTTATTTTTTTTGGTTTCAAAAATTATCGACCCTGGTCTAATAGTTTTACGTTGAATGTTGTTGAGATTTGTTTTGAGTTACAACTTTCTACAACAACAAAAAGTTGTAAAAAATTGTAGTTATCGCGTTGAAGGTTGTAGAATGTTGTAGAAATTTGTTATGAGTTGAATGTTGTAAAAATTTGTAATAAGTTACAACTCTTTACAACAACGAAAAGTTGTAAAAATTTGTAGAAAATTGTAGTTATCACGTTGAAGGTTGTAGAATGTTGTAGAATTATTTCCGTTGAATGTTGTAGAAATTTGTTATAAGATACAACTCCCTACAACAACAAAAAGTTGTAAAAAATTGTAGAAAATTGTAGTTTTCGCGTTAAATGTTGTAGAATGTTGTAGAATAATTTCCGTTGAATGTTGTAGAAATTTGTTATAAATTACAACTCTTTACAACAACAAAAAGTTGTAAAAATTTGTAGAAAATTGTAGTTTTCGCGTTAAATGTTGTAGAATGTTGTAGAATTATTTTCGTTGAATGTTGTAAAAATTTGTAATAAGTTACAACTCTTTACAACAACGAAAAGTTGTAAAAATTTGTAGAAAATTGTAGTTATCACGTTGAAGGTTGTAGAATGTTGTAGAATTATTGTTGTAAAATGTTGTAAAAATTTGTAATAAATTACAACTCTTTACAACTCTCTACAACAATACAAAAAGTTGTAAAAAATTGTAGAAAATTGTAGTTTTCGCGTTAAATGTTGTAGAATGTTGTAGAATCATTTCCACCAGGGTAGACTGTACCAAATTGGGGGGGACCCAAAGATAATACACCCCATAGATTGGAAACTCTCCCACCACTGCCCTCTAGAGCTACAATACCTGAACTATATCTATTTTTAAATTGCAGACATCTGTACAAACGCTATTTGCAAATGTCAATGTCAATCATAACACTATGATAGTTTTACAAACTTTTTTTTCCTAACATTAAGTACTCCAGCTTAGTTTAACTAATTTTGGGCCGCTGATTTCAAAAATGTCATTAGTTTTTCTCTAGGACGCACTGTGGGCCCAATGCCCAATCTAGGTTGCAATAATTCAATTTTTTTTCTATTTACTTAAAACTTTAAAAATAATTAAACTTTGAAACTGACCAATGCTGGTAATAAATTATATAATTTATTTTTTCATTTTCCAGTGTTGCCAAATTAGTATTTTTGGAAATTAATTTATATAATACAGGGTTATCTTCAACTAGTGTAACAAACCATGCCAACGTGATCTACGGTTCAAAATAAGTCGATTTAATCCAAATTACCTATATACTAAGTTGCTTCGTTTAGTCGTTAGGGGTCTTTAAAGTTTTGAAAAATAACTATTTTTTTAAAAACGTATTAATGAATTTTGAATATTTTTGGAATATAAGTTTTAACTGCCAATTAACGTCGTTTGGTGGTACACTCAGTTATCTTTAAAAATTAAAATAATCAGAAAAGCAAAGTTAGGTACTAATTTTCGCTTGTATTTTTTTACTGTTGATGTAATGGTTACCAATTTGCTAACAAATAAAAAGCTCACTTTGTTTAAAACTTTTTTGTCTGAAAATTATTGTACATTATAAATCTAGAGATTCCTTTTCTGAAAATAGGTCAATTTGACTCAACGCAGTTGCTTCGTTTAGCAGATAAAAGTGAAATACAGAATATTGAAATGTTTTTTAAATTTTAAAGGTCTCTAGCGTTCAATTATTGTACATTACAAATCTAGAGATTCCTTTTCTGAAAATAGGTCAATTTGACTCAACGCA